CTGTGGAACCAACGAAGAAAGAAGATTGCGTGGAAGACATTGGTGGACAAGAACGGTAAACACGGATGTTGAATGTAGACGTATCTTTCCAACACACACTACTCTCACTCACTCACCAGGTCACCATGTACCACCACTCCCTCCATCCTCTACATCCGTTCACCATCCTCACGAAGGACCCAGAGCTCAGGTCAGCCCAACTGACCCACACTTCACAGAGATTCCGTAAATTTAAGACGTCCTCTGTGAAATTTTTGCAGGAATTTCAAATATTTTCAGGAATTTTTGCCTTCTGTGCAGTAATATTTTTGGGCTTGTGGCCCACTAGATGCATATTAATTAGTGAGTGTGTGTTTTTTCTGGCCCCCTCTCCTCCGCAGGCCTTCACTCCAGACGTGATGGAGCCAGTGGAGATCAGAGCCTTCCCACAGTTCTACAGAGTCTACGAGACCCAGGGAAAGTGGCACTGCCCGCGACTGGAGGTATACTGCCTCATGAGAAACATCATTCTCGGACTCTGGTTCCAAAACTGCAAGGTATATATATCTGAACACGGAGCAATAATATTTCTTCTTCATCACGGCTTCAAGTATTACTGCTATATACCCATTAAACTCTCTATCTTACCATTAAAATACGCAGTTAGTAAATTCTATGTCGGCTTGCTTGGCCCCTTATTCTGAAGAAGTGCATACTTAAAAACTCACAAGATTATGAATAGTGCCTCCTCCCTTTCCCCTTTGCCCCTCTTTTTCCTACCCCTTCCCCGCCCCCTCTCTCCATGCAGAGCTACCTGACGGACGAGAGGTGTGTGGAGGCCCTCAGTCTCCGGGGGTTACTGAGGATCTGGTCGTCTCTCCATCTCTCTGCCGTCCTACACTTCCTCACACTCCACGGTTTCGTCAACCACGGTTTCCTTGACGACATACCCAGGCCCCTCCCATTTCTACAGTCTGACAGAAAGGTTTGTTTGATAATAGTAATGGCTGTGGGTGTTGTTTATTGGTTGCCATGGTGCAGATCAGAGTACTGATAATTGGAGCTGGTACAGCAGGTATTGCAGCTGCCAATCATCTCAGGAACTATGGACACACTGTGAGCTGCTTACAATCAGATTTCGATATTTCTTTCTATTTATCTGTATACATATGCACTACACATCCAAAAAATTTTGTTAGTAATCTTTCTTGTGATTATTCACAGGTGAGGATTCTGGAGGCCCAGGGGGAACTGGGGGGTCGAGTAAGAGACGATTTCTCGCTGGGTCCCTGCGTTGGGATGGGGGCCATGTTTATCACGGGGATCTGCAATAACCCCTTCACCCTCCTCGCGGAACAGCTGGGGATTCCCCTGCGGGTGGTGGACGAGGATCGCTGTGACCTGGTGACCGAGGGACAGGGGAAGGTGGATGGAGAGGCAGACCTGCAGGTTGAGAAACATTTCAACAGAACTCTCGACTTGCTGGCCGATTGGAGGATTGGACAGAATTGGGACGTCCCACTGCAGAGTACTTTTCTCTCTCTCCCTCCTTTCCATACCTCTTGTTCTCTTTTCTACTCTCTCCTTTGTTTCTTCCGTCCTTATCTCTCTCTTTCTCTGCTCCATTTTCTCTCTTTCTCTCCCTCCCTTTTTTTCTCCATTAATGTTAATACAAACCAACCTTCATGCCTGTGTATGTATGTTGATATGTTTTGTGTACCTTTTGACTAAACTAGTCTGAAGATAGCAGTAAGTACTCTCTCTTCTCCCTACAGCTAAGTTGGAGGAGCTACATACAACAGTACTATCGTTGGAGCAGGTGTCCCAGCCATACACTGCAGAGGAGAAGAGTCTTCTTGACTTCCACTACAGTAACCTAGAGTTTGCCTGTGGAGCTCAGCTCTCTCAGGTCAGGGGCTCCACTACAGTAACCTAGAGTTTGCCTGTGGAGCTCAGCTCTCTCAGGTCAGGGGCTCCACTACAGTAACCTAGAGTTTGCCTGTGGAGCTCAGCTCTCTCAGGTCAGGGGCTCCACTACAGTAACCTAGAGTTTGCCTGTGGAGCTCAGCTCTCTCAGGTCAGGGGCTCCACTACAGTAACCTAGAGTTTGCCTGTGGAGCTCAGCTCTCTCAGGTCAGGGCTCCACTACAGTAACCTAGAGTTTGCCTGTGGAGCTCAGCTCTCTCAGGTCAGGGGCTCCACTACAGTAACCTAGAGTTTGCCTGTGGAGCTCAGCTCTCTCAGGTCAGGGGCTCCACTACAGTAACCTAGAGTTTGCCTGTGGAGCTCAGCTCTCTCAGGTCAGGGGCTCCACTACAGTAACCTAGAGTTTGCCTGTGGAGCTCAGCTCTCTCAGGTCAGGGGCTCCACTACAGTAACCTAGAGTTTGCCTGTGGAGCTCAGCTCTCTCAGGTCACTACAAAGAGGCCAAATTTACTGACAACTGAAGCGTTCTTGCACTGGGTTCTAGTTCTATTGTTAATCTTCGGCAGCATTTAAAGTATGTATCATCAAGGAATGCAACTGCATTATTCTGTACTGGTATTGGTATGTACAAATTCTCCGTCTCTCTTCCCGTCCAGATCTCTTCCCTGAACTGGGACCACAATGATACATTCTCCCAGTTCAGTGGTCCCCATGCCATTCTGCCCACCGGGTACCACGCCATTCTGACCGGAATGGTTCGCGGTATCGACATCGCCTACCACACTACCGTCGAGACCGTTGAGGTGGTGGGGGAGGGGGTGAGGCTGGGGGACCAAAACGGACAATTCTGGGAGGCAGACAAGGTATTGTTCCATAGACCACTGCGGTTCACAATGTTGGTCATTATGGTTTAGTGAGCGAACCGCTGTGGTCCCCAGGTGGTTGTCACGGTACCACTATCAGTGCTAAAGGTTGGAAAAATTAAATTTTCTCCTTCTCTCGGAGACAAGAAGTCTGGAGCCATCAGCAGGCTGGGGGCGGGACTTGTTGAGAAGGCAAGTCAGTATACTATGACCAGATCTCAGTAATCTCTAGTAATCTTGTGGCGCAGGTCGCGATAAGATTTTCGGAGCCATTCTGGAGACAGAGCCTCGGGAACTGCGATTTCTTTGGTCGCGTGGCTTCCAATACCGACAGCCGAGGAATGTTTGGAATGTTCTACGACATGTCTTCAGTTTGGTCGCCTAGCAACTCTGATTCAGTCGGGACTACTTCAGAGACAAAAACGGAGGGACCCACGTCAGAAACGAGGGGACCGTCAGTAAATTCGCCCACCGAGGGGTCATTTATCCTCCTCACGACCATCTCAGGGAAGGCTCTGTTGTGGTACCATGCAGCCAGTGACGGCGAGATCGTGGACTCGTGTCTCAAAACTCTGAGACTCATGTTTGGAACCAGTGCTGTCCTGGAGGTCCAGGGATACCAGGTGTCACGCTGGGGCTCAGAGCCACATGTGGGGATGTTCTTGGTGTCGGTGGGAGGACACTGCTGAATGCTACGAGTGCGGCGCACCAGACAACCCGCCTACGAGGTTCCTACCTCGCGGGTTCATCTCCCCAAGGACGGACAACACCCACAGCTGCAGTCGGTGCGGCGGCCACGGAGACTGCCCGAACCTCAGCGAACGCTGAAAACGCTTCGCAATGAATTTTTCGTGTCAGACTGAATCACTCACTTTTCATCGTGCAATATGTGTGCTTCATGCATGCATGCATACATGATTCACCGATCGATACGCACGCGCAAGATCACGTACGCGCGCACTTGAAAACACATTACATAATCAGCAGAAGGAACCTGCCATATGTGGGGATGTCTTATTCCTACGTGGCAGTCGGCTCTACTGGAGAAGACTATGATGTCATCGCCGACACATCTCATGGGCACATACACTTCGCTGGGGAGGTCAGTCCATATGTATTTCTCTGTGCAATAAGATATAATTATTATTGACTTTATAATAGCTATGATTTTTGAGCAAAATAGTCATATGCCATTTTAATTGGTGTGTAATAGAGTTCATAGATAAAGTTGCATAACGTGTCAGAGAACATTCTAGAACACTTCTTCTTCATGTGTCTGGTCACCATATTGGGATGATGATGAAATAACTTCAGCAGGCTCAGGATATGAATATGGAATTTTGTCTTTCCACCATTATTGCAGGCGACCAACCGCCAGCACCCGCAGACAGTGACTGGTGCCTACCTCAGTGGGTTGAGAGAGGCATGCAAGATCATGGCTGATCTCAAATAACTGCTCACATCTCTGGGTACATTGTCTATGGACCCAGTATAATAGTCAACACCACCATTTTCCTTGTATTATAACACTGTATTATAATAGCATTCCTATTGAAAACCCTCATGGGTCCGGATGAGAATGACGCAATAGCTCACCCCTCCCCCTCGGGTTATTCAAACTCGTTGTTCCAGTGATTTGTCATGAATATCTGGGCATCCCCTAATTTTGAGGGATTTTCCCTGGGATATTCCGCATCTCGTTCACGTGAATGACGTTAAATGACATCACGCACTGGGACTACGCGTGGCTATAAAAGCAGCGGACCACGGATGGCACCGCCGTTCCACAGATTGTTTTACACAAACGCAATTTGGACTGTCGAGCTTGCGTAAGTTGGCAGGAATGGCGCAGACAAAGCCTTCACTTCGCCAGTTCCAGTGCGACACTGAGGATTGTCCTGTCAAAGGGAACACATGGCTGAAGAGAGATACGGAGTGCAAGTGTCGAGAGTGCAAGAAGGAGGCGACGCCGATTCCGGCGGGAGAGGAGAGAGGACCGTTGGTCTTCGAGTTCAACTGCAACTGCGGCGAGCAATACACCGTCAAGTGTCGCCGGGAGGACACGGCGAAATGTTACGGTTGCGAAAGACGCAACTCCCCAATTCGATTCCTGGGTCGACATTTCATCGATAAGAAGACCGACAGGGAGCACGGCTGTAGCAGATGCAAGGACGGCCAGACGAAGAATTGTCCCAACGCTCAACGCCACGCGGCGAGGACGTAGACGGAGCAAACAGTGGAAGTGGAAGCTAGTATATTTAGTACATTTTTTATTCCCAGTGCTGTAAAGACTGTCACATGTTATTACTATAGTAGGCGAATGCATGGCATTTTTGCCGAGCGGAAGCGAGCTTACAACTAGTCACTCTTGTGTGTGCACAAAACAGTGAGATACATTGCACAGGGCCAAGTAGGCCTTTTAGACCCGAGCGCAGTAGACAATTCGAGTCGAGTCAAAAACAGTCAGACGACAGCGCGAATCAGGCATAATCCGGCAATCGAGAAAAATCTCTCGCTGGACTGTGCAGCAATTCTCGATAGCTTCGGAGGTGTTCGAGCCTGCCGTGTTGCGTTTCCTATCGATTCAGGCAACATATGACACTGAAATTTGCTTGCGGCAACGACGTGCAAGCATGCGCGACATGGTTGGCACACACGGCTAAGTGTACCTTGGCTGCCACATATGGAGTCAAAAGACAGGGGCAATCCCTGGGACTCACCCTACCATTAGTGCATAAAAATACATCGCCCCGCTATTATCAACTCTGCATGGTGTCGAGTAAACAAGACCAGCTGCAGTCGGAAAATGCCGAGGAGAAGGCACCCGCTACGTCAGTTCAGGTGCGAGACGGAAGGCTGCAGAGATGAAGGTAGCACTTGGATGAGGAGAGACACGTTCTGCGAATGTCGCGAATGCGGCGAGAAGCGGAGCTGATCCCGCAGGGAGAAGAAATCGGAGTGTTTGTCTTCGAGTTCAACTGTGACTGCGGGAACCAGTACACCGTATGGTGTCGGTGGGAGGACACTGCTGAATGCTACGCGTGTGGCGTACCAGACAACCCGCCTACGAGGTTCCTACCCCGCGGGTTCATCTCGTCAAAGACGGACAACACCCACAGCTGCAGTCGGTGCGGCGGCCACGGAGACTGCCCGAACCTCAGCGAACGCTGAAAACGTTTCGCAACGAATTTTTCGTGTCAGACTGAATCACTCACTTTTCATCGTGCAATGTGTGGGCTTCATGCATGATTCACCGATACGCACACGGCGCGGCGCCGGGGTGCCAGCGAGCGCGTTCGGGGTAGTATCTGCGCATGCGCAATATCACGTACGCGCGCACTTGTAAATTATTGTGGGGATGTCTTTACGTGGCAGTGGGCTCTACCGGAGAAGACTATGATGTCATCGCCGAGACATCTCATGGGCACATACACTTCGCTGGGGAGGTCAGTCCATAGGTATTTCCGTGTGCAGTAAGATATAACTAGTGGAAATGTTGAACATTGTTGGCGAGCGGGAGCTAGCGACCCAACTTGGGATTTCACCGCGATGTTCGGGCTGCATAACGTGCCGTCAGCGCACAGCTTTCCTTTCGCGAAGCAAGACAGATCTACCTGTCGCCGTTACATGCGTACTGGTACATTGCCAGAACGGTGAGCAGGTGAGCAGAACGGTACTTACCTTACGCTTTCAGCTCGTCAGTCGTGGTCCACCTGGCAACTGGCATGCAGCAGTATGTGCCCTAGCGTATTATGCAAGTTGCGCCTTGAGATTGGGAAGAGGTACAGCTTCGGTCAGTCACCGAAGGTTCGATGGTCGAATGGAGGAGAGTTGAGATAAAAAGAAGCGCGTACAAAGACGCGCATGCGCACTTACACGACGTACGAACGCATATATAATTATATATAATTATATATAATTATATACACAGAAAATTCCGCTCGAACAAACGACTAGGTTGGCTCGCTCCCGCTCGCCAATTATTCTTGACGTAGCTATGATTTTTTAGCAAAATATATAGTCCTTATGCCATTTTAATTGGTGTGTAATAGAGTTCGCACAAATGCTATGCACAAAGTTGCATAACTGTGTGTTTGTGTTGGATGTCAGAGAACATTCTAGAACACATGTTTCTTCATGTGTCTGGTCACCATAATATTTGAAATAGCTTGTTCAGCAGGCTCAGGATATGAATTTCGTCTTTCCACCATTATTGCAAGCGACCAACCGCCAGCACCCACAGACAGTGACTGGAGCCTACCTCAGTGGGCTGAGAGAGGCCTGCAAGATCATGGCTGATCTCAAATAACTGCTCACATCTCTGGGAACATTGTCTATGAACCCAGTCAACACCACCATTTCCCTTGTATTATAACACTGTATATAATAGCATTCCTATTTGTCAGGAATTTCTGGGCATCCCCTAATTTTGCCGAGGGATTTACCCTGGGATGTTCCGCACCATGGGTGCGCGTGCGTAATGACGACGCGCAATAAGCGCGTATAAAAGCCAGACGCTAGCTGCATGCGCGGCACTGCATACTGCTTTCTCGTTTGTTTAGATTGCTTAGCAAGACTGCTGCTTGGCTATAGTATGCCTGTTGGAGACGAACGACAACAGCAACAGCGACAATTTCGCTGCAATAACTGCGGCGGGCGCGGCTGGCGCGACTCGTCTCCCACCTCGCAATGCCGCGAATGCGAAGGGGACGGTGAGCTGCTCCCCGCAGGACACGAAGTGGAGCTTCGCCAATTCAAATGCATGTGTGACGGAACTGAGGGCGGCCATATTTGGTATGAGCGAGCCGAAAAATCTGTTTGCAGAAAATGTAGGGAGTGGGTGGACGCGGTGCCGGTTGGTGAGGAGGAAGGGGTTTTTGTCTGCAAGTTCGTCTGTAATGACTCGGATCCATACGAATATCGCGTCCGATGTCGCATGTGCGACACGGCGAAGTGTTACCGATGCCGCGACAATGGCCACGACGAACATCACGTGGCGCCCTATGGATTTCTTCCTCGTCGGTACGTGAGGAAAAAGACGAACAATGTTCATAGTTGCAGCAGATGTAACGGATCTGGAGATTGCCCGAACTTCAGGGGAAAATAAAATTCTCGTCATGCTCATTTTTACCTCCGTGCATCTTTGCAATAGCACGACTGTTCTGTCATTTGTAATAATTATAATGTATATCATACGTATATACGTGTATAATACAAATCACTGCACTTATCTATTGCTGGTATATACCGTGTTCTAAAGTAGTGCCCCACGTTCGCACAGCGCTCGCGGGTAATACCCCGGGATTTACCCTGAGCAACTAACGCTAATTAGTCGGACTCGCGACCTCGTCATCAGCTGCACCTCGCATGTGGTGGAGAATGCCGCGGAGAAGGAAGAGAAAGCCTCCACTTCGCCAGTTCCAGTGCGACACTGAGGGTTGTCCTGTCCAAGGGAACACATGGCTGAAGAGAGATACGGAGTGCGAGTGTCGAGAGTGCGAGGAGGAGGCGACGCTGATTCCGGAGGGAGAGGAGATCGGAGCGTTGGTCTTCGAGTTCGACTGCGACTGTGGCAATAAATACACCGTCAAGTGTCGCTGGGAGGACACCGCGAAATGCTACGGTTGCGGTGTACAGAACTCCCCAACTCGATTCCTGCCGCGAAATTTCATCGAGAGGAAGACGAACAAGAAGCACAGCTGCAGCAGATGCAAAGGGGGGAAAAACTGTCCTAACCTCAACGCACCGCGGCGTGGACGAAGACGTAGACGAAGAGCCAACGGTGAAAGCTAGTGTATTTGCCACATTTTTTATTCCCAGCGCTATATCCTATATTTCAATCGAGCGCGCATTCACCGACCATTGTTTTGGCCAACGTCGCGTGCCAGCATATTACGCTTGGCACACACGTGTGGCTTTCAGTCAAAACACAGGGGGAAATCCCTGGGACTCACCCTACCGTTAGTGCATAAAAATACATCCGCCCCGCTATTATGAGCAGATGCAACTCTGGTGTCGCGTGAAACAAGACCAGCTGAAGTCGGGAAATGCCGAGGAGAAGGCGTCCGCTCCGTCAGTTCACGTGCGAGACGGAAGGCTGCAGGGCTGAAGGTAACATTTGGCTGAAGAGAGACACGTTCTGTGAATGTCGCAAATGCGGCGAGGAAGCGAGGCATCCCCTCCGTCAGTTCACGTGCGAGACGGAAGGCTGCAGAGATGAAGGTAGCACTTGGCTGAAGAGAGACACGTTCTGCGAATGTCGCGAATGCGGCGAGGAAGCGAGGCATCCCCTCCGTCAGTTCACGTGCGAGACGGAAGGCTGCAGAGATGAAGGTAGCACTTGGCTGAAGAGAGACACGTTCTGCGAATGTCGCAAATGCGGCGAGGAAGCGGAGCTGATCCCGCAGGGTGAAGAAATCGGAGTGTTTGTCTTCGAGTTCAACTGTGACTGCGGGAACCAGTACACCGTATGGTGTCGGTGGAAGGACACTGCTGAATGCTACGAGTGTCGCGAACCAGACAACCCGCCTACGAGGTTCCTACCTCGCGAGTTCATCTCGCCAAAGACGGACAACACTCACAGCTGCAGTCGGTGCGGCGGCCACAGAGACTGCCCGAACCTCCGCGGACGCTGAAAACGTTTCGCAAAATATTTTCGTGTGAGACTGAATCAAACAATGTCGACAAACAATGGCTGTGGTTTGAGGGTACTTTATCTTGCTACCCCACTAAAGGTAATAGACCATTTATCTCGGCTCAGCTATACTCACAGTTGAACCGCAGGAACTCTGTACACTTACATACGCTCATTCACTTTTCATGTGGTCCACCATCAATTACCTTCAGTGCGCACGGCGCCGCGAGCGCCGGCGGCCAGCGCGTTCGGGGTAGTATATGCGCATGCGCAAGATAACGCTTTTTACGCGCGCACTTGAAAACACATTACATAATCAGTCAGAGATGGCTACTCAGCTTAGGATTCTTCCTAAAAACAAACACCATTGACAAAATTACATCATATCCATTAAGAATGACATCATCTCACCTGAGCTGAGATGCAGACGGCATTTTACCCTGGAACATTAGCTCCGCAGCCTGCGAGACTACGGGGTCAGAGTTCAAACTGCACACGGCCAGCACCTTGTCATCTCTGGGAAAATTACAGGGTGACCTCATACGATTATGATCTACAGTGACACCTCTGAATAAGGGACACCTTAGGGACATTGACAAGTTTCTTATTGAAGGTTTTTAATCACCAGAGGATGAAGGGTAGCTAGGGAGAGTGGCTCACTTGACGAAGAATGCGGAGAATTTCATCTCCTCTGGTTCGCCATCAAAGATGATGTCATCCCAGCTCAGAGCATGGCCTACAGTAACACCGCACTTGAAATAGTCTTTCATTCGTTTTTGTCTACACATGCACTAACACACACTGAATTGTCCTCACAACAGAACAAACTTGGCAAAAAAACCCTCTATATTATGAGTTATTATGCTAATGTACCGCAGTATCGAAGACTCTTGCCAAAGAGAACAGTCCAGAAGAAGGGGATACTGGAATATGTCTCTTCTCTACCACCCATGTTCCTGGCTGCCACTCGACCTACGATGGCCAGATAGACTACTGTAACACCGACATCACTGGATGCAGTTTCTTGAGAACAAGTTGACAGAGTGTCGCAAGGCATTACGAAATTTATGTAAGCTACATATGTATGATGTCACTAAAAAGATTGTGCACACACATGAATCAATCCTCTAAGTCACAGATGACATGAGGAGGAGGGGTTACCATGGTAGTGGGCCAGCTGCCAGTGTCCGATGGAGGCGGAGTCACCGATGAGAGGCAGAGGAAATCTCGCAATGTCTCCCGCTGCATACACGTCTCCCTCTGCACACATGTTGCCGTCGACAACCACCTCGCCACGCCCACTCAGCGGCAGCCCAGAGTCCTTCAGGAATTCCGTTGCCGGGACCACACCCACTCCGGCAATAACGACCTCACAAGACAGGGTCTCCCCCGACGGCAGCATCACTCCCGTTACCTAGGAAACCAGACGACAATCTCCGTTGCTTCCCACCTTCCCCCACCTCACCTTCCCATCTTCCACTACTATCTCCTTTACACCGGCATTCAGATGAAACTCCACCCCCTTCTCCTCTAGCATCTATTTTTAGAAACAAGAAATGACATCACCACTCTTGCCGACAAACCTAAAAAGCCAACATGCAACCTTCAATGTATGGGTATAATAGGTCCATTAAAAAATTTAACTTGGGAATGTCTCACCTAACATGCAGGGTATATACAATGCTTTCAGTAGGGAAAAAGACGACATCACTGCTCTCATTGACAAACAATGGGGAGAAAAACGATGACATCATTGAACCACTCACCCCCTGCAGCATCTTCCCAATGCGAGTCCCCAGGACTCTCTCAAACGGCACGGCGGCAATGTCGATACATGAGACGCTAGCTGCCTTGCCACACAGATAGGCCGCCACCTCCATCCCTACACAGAGCAAAATTTTATTATGGGCCACTCAAATTAGTAGGATCACTTAATAGTTAAATTTGCACAGACTGTGAATTATTTGAATGTTTGCTGAAACAGATAAGGTCTCACCAATGAACGAGGTTCCAATGACGACGACCCTCTTCCCCTCGGCCATGGTTGCTATGGCGTTGGCCTGGGCGGGGTCTCGGAGAAGGAGAACGTTCCCCTCGAACCCCGGGACGGGGAGGGAGCGAGGCCTGTGGGGGGCGTGGCAGGCAGGGCAGCTAGCTTCCCACACATCCACACTCACTCACAGTGCAGAATGAGAGAGAGACGCTACTCTCTTAGAACACTATACTCTTATTAATGCTCCCCCTCCCTCCTCTCTCATGTTGTTAAGAGAAACTCAGAGACAAAGAGAGAATGGAAGAAGAGAGAGAATAGGAGAGAGAATGGTAGAGATAACAGTGAAACCTCTGAATAAAGGACACCCATTCAGCGGCATCCCCCTATACAGAGGTATGTAATAGCTGTGGGCAGAACCAAGCGTCCCTTATAGAGAGGTGTCCTTCATTTGGAGGTCCTTTTTCAGAGGTTCCACTGTAGAAGAAAGAGAGAGAGAGAGAGGAGAGAGGTTTCAGGCAATAAAGGCGACTGACTTTGATCCAGTGGCCAGCAACAGTTTGTCGTAACTGATCTCCTCTCCGTCTGAGAATTTTACCTTTTTCCCCTCCTTGTCCACCCCCGTCGCCTGGGAACAGGTGTCGTCATGGCAACCAGACACGTCTCGACTCCATTCCACTCACCTCCTTCCCGAGGACGACCTCGATGTCATGACTGGAATAGAATTCTGCCGGTCTCAGCAGAATTGAGTCAGCATTCAGGTTTGGAGCCTATGGAGATCAGAACATGTACAGTTGAACCACCAAAACTTCGGGACATCGCAAGTGCATGTTCAGAGATGAATCTTATTCAGAGGAAATAAACATTAATGTATTAACCAGAACCAAGTGTTTATTTTAGAGAGATGTCCTTTATTCAGAGAGTGTTATGTCAGAGGTTTCAGTTATACACCTCACATTATGAAAGAAAAACAAGGAAGAAAAAGGTTTATTTACTTTGCTCAGTTTGATTCTGTCGTATGGCAACACGTTTTCTCGACAAGCCAGAATTACACGACCTTTGAACCCCTCTTGCCGCAGTGTCTCGGCAGCTACAACAGACGCAGGACCTACAGAGAGAGAGAGAGAGAGAGAGCCACTGGTCTACAGTCAGCAGTGAGAGAGAGGGAAACAGTGACAGAGGTGAGATTGTAGGAAACAAGGAAGTATGGTCATGTGTTAGGGCTGTGGCAACAGCTGTCCCTAGGTCTCCTCCATCCTCTACAGCTTCCTTCCTTTATTTGCTTAGTTGTAAAACATAATTGCTTGATTGCAGTAGAATTCTAGCCACAGGTTAAATAATGGTAGTTCAAACTACTTCAGTATTGTTGAAGAAATGATAAATTTGTGACTGACTGGAAGACTGGATAATACATATATGCATGCGGTAGAACAGCAATCAGAAAGGCAAGTGGACAAAAATGTGACTCATCAGTTAACAACACTAACACAGTCCCCCAGGGACAGGTAATCAAGTATATATAAAAAATCTGCCATAAAGAATCACAATTACTCCAGATTATATAACTCCCTCACTTGATTAGCCTCATACCTCCTCCAATAATGAGAAATGTCCTCTTGTCCTCCTCAACCGATGCCACCACAGACTGCTTCGTCCTCCTAGTGTTGCTTAGCAATGCCTTATCTGCTTTTACTATGACATCATCACCCTCAACTCTCACCTAGTATGTGGTGACGATATTATTTAGAATGATGTAATGATGACACAATGGTATAAACCTGGAAGAGAGGGAGACTGTCTAGGCCGGGAAAGTCTTCAATGTCGCCAGAAGTTGTGTTGAAACAGGCGCCGTGCCAGGGACACCGCACTCGGCCGTTTCCAAGGCAACCCTTGATCAGGGGAGCTCCGTAGTGAGTGCACTTTGCACCCATAGCGGACCAGGCTCCGTTCTGATGGATGACCAGCACTTTCTTCTCCTCAAGCTCCACCTCTTTCATCCTACAACACACACAGTGAAATATCAACACAATGCTAGTGCACACACCAAGTTGTTTAACGACATTCACAGTAGGCAGAGTACCCACGCAGCATGCACACACATTCTGAGGCCAGACTCACTCGTTCTCTCCGAACTCGGAGGCCTTGGCCACCGCACACTCCACATATCCCACCCCATCTGCAGCTGCGCCGCTTTCCTTTGCTCCCTCGGCCGCTTGCTGCTGGGCTGGCGTCGCGATAGCTGCCGTCTCCTTCTCTCCCTTCTTTGTACTCTTCTTCTTCTCTCTCTCGCCTTCTCCGTTCTTGGATCCTCCTGCACCCATGGTAGTCGCTGGAATATTCTTGAAGAACGCTAGTTGCACGTAACTGGCAGAGAAGACAGGCAGCTCGCGGAGCCGGAAGAGACTGCAGGTACGTGTAGCCGGAGGTCTAGAAGAAGGAGCGAACTTGCTGCGAGCGAAACTGGCAAAATGGGTAGCCCTGAACGTGCAGCGGATGGAGGAGAGAATGCGCATTTGGCGTAAACACCTACCCACGTACACACGTTCATTACAATATCACTATCAGGAACAATCAGGAACAACCACAAATGTCATATTTGGCAAGCTACGACGTATCAACATTGCCAAGTGAATCGCCAGTTGCCACTCCTTCCTTTTCAACTTTCTCCTCTTTCTCCTCTTCCTCGTCCTCTCCCTTCCTTCCCTCTCCCTCCTCCCCCTCTCCTTCTTCCCCCTCTTCTTCCCCTTCCCCTTCTTCTTCCTCTTCATTTTCCTTCCCCTCTTCCCTCTCTTCCCTCTCTTCCCCCTCCACCTCACCCCCACCCCCTCCCTCCACACTGTCAGAGGGGCTGCCATTGAGAGAGAGACTCAGCCCGGCACTGCTGCCAACACTGACAGTCCTCAGCCGCAGTCGCGAGTCGCGAGTCTCCCGTATCTCCAGCCCCAGTCGCTGGCGCTCTGACTTGGCTCTGGCCTCACATTCTGCCGTCTCTCTCTCCTGCTCCAGTCGATATTCCTCCACCTCTCTGTTCAGTCTCTCCTGCTCACTGGGACTCACTCCCTGGATAAAACGTTTAGCAAATTACGTTTTATTACACAGCAGAAATCATGCTAAAATTGTAGTGGAACTCCCGAGGGTCCTTTTGCAGATACAGCAATAAGCAGCACTGAATATTGAAAACATGGGATATCCATGCTAAAAATTAATCAGAGAAGCATTTGCAGGTACGTAGGCCTCAAACATAAGAATTACAAACACTTTCTCAATCCCGGTGAAATTTTTCGGGTATAATAGTACATACCGTGTCTTCTTTTTCCTTTCCAAGAATCTCATTGCCTAGTTCAGTCACCTCAGCAGCTACAGAGAGATGAATATGACACTAATGCCAGACTGCAGAGAGAGTGTTAGCTGGCTCACCAAGGGAGTGAATGGACTTGAAGTGAGGTCTCATGCTGGCAATGTCCTCCAGGAACACAGCCTCCATCTCACTCACCATGCTCACACACGACTGGAGACACTGGAGGTCGCTGTTACCTCGCTTCACCTGTGCAGTATAACACGGCATTGCACTCGGGCAAGAGCTAGCGACATTTCCTATTCACTGACCTCGAACTCCCTGACAAAGAGATGGACTTCATTCTGTATGACTGGTCTGTGGTGGAACAGCCGCTTGTAGATGGTTCCCACGTCTGCGACGATAGTTTTTCAGTACTAGTTGGTCGTTAGAGGGGAAAAAGACAAGAGTTACCTGAAATGATCGCTTCGGTAGCCATTTTGTAGGTCGGGTCGACGACTTATGCGCATGCGCTGAGTGTTGAACTTTGGCGGCAAAATCGCGGGAAACCATCCTTTCCGACATTCTCTCAAGGGCCAAGAAAAAGGCGAAGAAAGCAGTTGAAAATGGTGAGGACCAAGGCATCCAACGCTGCACCAGCTGCCACAAGAAAAGGTGAGACTCTGCAAAACACCTCATTCTCTGAAATGTACGCTCAAACGGCCCGCAGCCGTGGCGGCTCGAGCACCGCGGAAGACGGTGAGTGTACCTCGGCCAGTGTCCTCCCCCTCATCTGGCGGCGGGAAGTCGAGGAAAGGGAAGTCAGCCATCGGAGGGAACCCGGCGAAGCTGTGGCCGACGCCAGACTGGCAGAAAGGAATTGGGGTTAGCCCAAAATACACTTGCAGCAAGAAGGAAACAATTCACTATAATATACTCTCTCGTTGCAGAGTTTCCTGAAGGGAGCAGAGGGAGGGATAGTGGTGGACCAGGAGGAGCCAGGCCCCAGCAGAGACGTCATCACACAGGAAGAAGAGGAAATGGAGATGGAAGAGACCACACCCTCTGGGCCGGGGTCCTCGGGCGGGGTGGGCGTGGCTCTTCTAGACAGCTCCATCGCCCAGCTCAACAGTGATGATGAAGACAGCGACTGAACTATTCACACCCTCCCTCCACCCCTCACATCCTCACACTGTTCCCCATTACCCCACCCCCTCGCTCAATTGTCTTGTATGATAAATTGGAATTTTATCACATTTATTTTTGTCTATAAATACTAACAAAGTTGGTCCAGTGGGTGTGGTCTTCGGAAGTCAAGGGTCCAAGCCGAGATAATAAGTCACTCACGCCCACCTCTGAGAATGTAGGTGTGGCTTCATCACCACGACAACCTCTGACTGCCACAGATACACAGTGCTGCAAACAGAAATGTCGAAACATCGATGCACCATGATGTAAGAAAAGAATTACTAACTTCTTTGTCGATGAGGGATTCCTCAAACCTCCAGTCACTGACTCTCTGTCTGTCTATTGCCAGCACCGACCCACTACAACAGGTCTGAGGGGAAATAGAGAGGAATGTCAGAGTGTGTGTGTGTGTCTCACGGGGTGCGACGGAGGCCACATGGGGTCTGGGCTGAACTCCAACCTCTGGAGACCATAGCTCAGTCCACTGCCTTCTGCCTTTATGAAACTCTCCTTCAGACACTGCAGAGAAAGACCATTCAACTGACAAATGAGGGACTAGAGCTGTGGAATGACAAGGCAGAGAGGGAACTAGGATCATTATACAAATGGCGGAATTGACCCAAAAACGGTAGAAGGCTGCCAGTTGCTGCTGATGAGTGGGTGGGGCCAGTATGTGAGACCACTCCCCCTCTGTGAAGTTTCGACACATCGTACGAAAGAATTCCTCTATATTCTGACCCCCTGGTATCCGTGGTAACAAGGCATGTGAGATAAGAGTAACCATGGCAATCGTTTACTGGGTGTATCCAGTTTCATAACATCCACACCCACTGCAAGAAAAGAGGAACCTCCAGCAATTAGGTTAATTTGCTCGCTCACTTACCATCCCTTCCTATTTCCATGGCAACCACAGCATGGTTACCATGGTGAGAGATGTTGATGTTGATTGAAGTATCAGCAGGTCTCAGCTAAGGATGAGGGAACTCCTGAACTGTCGTCATGGAGACAGTACAGGACTAACCAGCTCAGGTTTCCCTCTTCCTGATCTCCCAAATAAGACATCTCTATTCCTCACCCCCTCCTTCTGTACCACCGCTGCTCTTAGCAACAGCCGACCAACCTGGATACCACAGAGTGCAGAGGTCAACTAAAAAACCACGTGGGCAGCCTCACTCACTAAAGCGGACTTGGCGTCACTCTGGAAGGAGAATTTGTTGATTCTCTCTCTCTCCTCGACCTGGACACGAGCCATGGCGGCGCACCAGTCCACCTGACACGGTCGCCAGCTTCCACAGTTCACAAACACTCGCTTCATTATTTCGCCAAATAAGCGCATTACGCATGCGTATGGCTGGTGGTGGGCGTTATATAGAGAAAGTAAACAAACGTTTCACTCGTGCAGCTATAGTGTCGTGTCCCGGGCTGGGAGACACGTGGCTATGGGTAACCAGATTGACAAGGTTCTACCTGGTCTCTACGTGGGAGGAATTCTTGGTGAGTGAGAGAGAGGAAAAAGTAAATTCATCTCGCGGCCCCCCAGGTACGGACAGGAAGCAGAAACTGCAGGAGAGCAAGATAACTCACGTGCTGTCTATTCACGACCACGCTGAGCCCGAGTACACGGTGAGTCAATACTCTCCCTGATATTGGTGGGTGTGGCATGTTCCCTCCTCCTCTCTCTCTCTCTCAGGATCTGTTCACATACAAGTGTATTCAGGTGTCTGACACGAGCTCATCTGATCTGTGAGTCTTTTTACCAACATTCTGTTGGAATCCACGTCAATTGTATACTCTCTTGTCTGCCTACTAGCTTCTATATACCAAGTACAGTACCTTTATGTAAAGTAAATTAAGTGCATTCTTTGGTTACAGGTCAGTATACTTTGCTGAGTGTGTGGACTTCATCCACCAATGTCGGCTGAGCGGAGGCTCTGTTTTCGTCCACTGGTGAGAAACAAATGATGTCTAGCAAGCTCTCTGATTAACATCTGCCCCTGTAATCCCCCCTCGTTTAGTGCTGCAGGTATATCCCGATCGGTGACCATCACAGTCGTGTACATGATGACAGTCTCAGAATACAACTTTGAGGAGTGTCTGACGGCCGTGCGTGCCTGTCGCGAGGTGGCCAACCCTAACTATGGCTTCCGTCTCCAGCTCAAGCAGTATGAGGAGGGAAAGATGAGAGAAGTAAGTATATCTACATGTAATTACGTAATATGAAACCTCACACATAAACCACAGATTTCATGATGAACCCATCTATTAGTGCCGTGTACATAATATTATACTAACATAATTGTGTGTCGAGGGATTTGGAATGAATTCAGCACTGATTCCAATTTCTTGTTGTGTTTCCCCAGGAGAGGAAGAGAGTGCTGGCAGACTATCCCACCACTCCTAGTCTCGGAGATAACACGGCCATTGCTGATCTGGTGAAGACCGCGAAAGAGAAGGGGAGAGGGGCATCCGATGACCCTTACTCCGCCATGAAGCCAAGTTCGTTCACGGGGGCAAGAAAAACAGACAGTAGCAGTGAGGAGAAGAAAGACGAACAAAAAACTGAGAAAGCAAAGAAAGGGGCTAAAAAGGGTGGTTTGTTAGGAAGTATGTTTTAGTATTTTTGCACTTAGCACATTGTTTTGTAACTCAGTGTTAAAACAATATTATGATACACAATATCAAGATTTTTGTTGTCGGCACTTCCGTGGGAGGGGTGTGGCTAGTTCGACGAGACGAGGCGAGGCCTGGGCGTGGAGAGCGGCGTGGGATACGTTCCAGGCTCGCGGGTCATAGTCCTCGCTGGTACGGGACTTGGGGTGAGCCAGTTTCACCGTCAGGTCTGTGGCTGTGTGCTTCTTGGCTGCTTCAGTTACTGACCACTCCACCTCTCTGGGGAAGAGAGAGAGGCAAAATATATTACTGTGGAACCTCTGAATAAGGAACACCTTGGGGACATTAAAAGTGCTCATCATTTGGATGATGGAGGTATTATTGCAGTACACTAAAGTATGGGGCAGAACCAAGGTTCAATTCATACCTGCAGGGTTTGTATAGAGGGTGGTCTGTCTTGGCGTGAGATAGTTCAGTGACCCTCGTCGAGGCCTGAGCGGTCCTGGCGGCAGGACTCACATCTGACTCCCACGCACACCAGTCCCACTCGGAACGAGACTTGATTAGTAGGGGCGGGTACGTCTTGTGGCGCGCCAGGTACGACAGTCGGATGGTTGGATTAGCATTCATAGCTGACTTTGGAACTACAGTCATCACCTACCAATTGACGAAACAGAGAGAATTTGTTACCATACAATACCCCATGCAGACAGGTGTACTCAACAATCAATGGACAACAGAGGAATGTGTGTTACAGTAGCTTTGTAGGAGTGAATTTGGAAATCATAGTCAAGAGTAGGATGGTAGGAATTTTAATATAGGTGTGAATACAATCTAGTGTCTCGGTATGGGTTCTTTCTTTAGTATATAGCATATCACCTATATATGCACCTGTCTGCACGGACGATAGTTCAGGTGAACATTCTTCGGAGTGCAGAGCTGAAGTAGGCGTGGTGTGGGCGTGGCTAAGAGGGCAGAGGGGGAGACAGGCCACATTGGAGAGGGACGATCTCCAATGTAGTCCTCATGCAGCCTCTTAGAGTACACCAGCTGAGCCTGCCGCCGTGTCAGTACTGCATTTGGAAAAATACAATAAACCAAGGAGGGGGGAAACAGTGGCAGTGGTAGGTATGTAGCTAGGTAGTGGTCAGCTCACAGAAGGATGTGGTCTTTGAATAGTCTTTTTCTGGTATTCCATTCTCCCAGTAGACTGAACGTCTGTAAGAAAAAAAAACAGAATATTGTTCACTGCTATATACTAAAACAGAGTCTGAGGCCTCGCCTGTCCTCCAGGAACCCTGCAGGAAGAGACTTGGGTGTCGCGAGCCTCCTGTAGCGGCTCAGGTTATTGGCATCAACTGCAGAAAGAAGGGAGGGGCTCGTTATATCGACGTACACCGCGCCCCGCTAGGGCGGGCGAGATGCGTGCAATATTTAGCGAAGTATGAACATGAATGCTTACTAGTTACAGTAGTCATCGCACTCTCCACAATGGTTGTGAGCAACGAGCGGCGTTCTCGCGTTTGCTGCTGCAGAACTGCAACACCCACGCACGCTATCTGCCATGGAAACCAACACTGCGCATGCGCGCAATCACTCAGCGACACACGTGTATGCGATGGCCGAGAATGTGGATCTTCCGCAGAAGAGGTTCTACCGCCAGAGAGCTCACTCCAACCCTCTGGCAGACCACACGTTCTCCTATCCCGCTCGTCCCAACCTCATGGATTGGCGAACTCTCTTCCCCGCCTGGGAACAGGGCAAAGCTGTCCGGTTTCTCGACGTTGGGTGTGGCTACGGAGGTCTCCTTGTTCGGCTGTCCGAACTCTATCCGGACACTCTAGTACTAGGGGTGGAGATACGCGTTAAAGTGTCCGACTACGTTCAGGACAGGCTGATGGCTCTGCGACAGAAGCACCCAGGTAGCTACGGGAACGCGGCTGTCCTGAGAACAAACGCGATGAAATACCTCCCAAACTACCTGGAGAAGGGCCAACTGAGGAAGATGTTCTTTCTGTTCCCTGACCCTCACTTCAAGAAGACGAAGCACAAGTGGAGAATTGTCAACAGTTTGATTCTGGCGGAATATGCCTATCTCATGGAGGAGGGAGGCATAGTCTATACAGGTACGTGAAGGTTTTAGTTTGGAGAATACAGTGGAACCCCCCCCCCCCCCTCTCTTAGGACACCTCTGATCAGTGACCCTTTTCTTTACTCCTGAAATAAGCATACCTCACTAATATTGACACTTTTTGTCCAAAATGTTGTAATTAGAGAGGTCCACTGCAACGAGTGAATTTCCCTTGTAAATCTTGTAGGAAATTCACACTTCGTCTATAATTTTGACGTGATGAATGGATAGCTTGTTTTGGAAGTTGCAAGAAAGAGCTACAATGACAAAGCCTCCTATAATTAATACCATATTCAGAACGTGGTTTTCTGTCCTTTGTAGCTACAGACGTGGAAGAGCTACATCAGTGGATGGTGGAGCATTTCACCTCCTTCCCACTGTTCCAGAGAGTAAGCGAGGGGGAGGAGGGGGAGGACCCTGTCGTTCCACTGCTGAGTAGCGTCACAGAGGAGGGCAAGAAGGTGGAGAGGGCAGGAAGCAGAGTATTCGTCGCTTGTTTCAGGAGAATAACAGACCCTCTCACTTCAGATCTTACTCTAGAGACAGAAACCTTTGCCCAAACCTAGTTTGTACATTTTATGTCCAGTTGCATGCTGGGCTCACCACCAACTTAACAAAAAATTTTTAACTTGATTTTCTCCTTCATGTGGTTTTGTAAATTTGACTGACAATATTATAGTCATACAAGAACTTTATTATAAAAAAATTAATGACCATGCAGAAATCTTTTGCAGTGAGATGGTGATGTGAGTACCACACCCCCTAATTAAAGTCCAGAAAAGGGGCATGGTGAAGAAGAAAGACAGTGAGGAGAGGGTTTTAATTGAAGTATATAAAAATGGCCGCCAGAGGAGACCAGTGCTCAGCGGTACTGCTTCTTCTTGGCATCCATGGCTTGGAGGATGGGCAGACGCTTCTGATGGTAGCGTTTCCTTGGGAACCAATTGGAATTACATCATTACCAATGACACCATCAGTGAACTTTGACCTCACCTGAGAGCCTCAAGTTCTTGGTCCATGAATTTGTCCAATTCTGACATGTGTTCTTCCAGTTGCTGTACCGTCAGTGTTTTCAGCTGTGGGGAAAACAATTGTGTGTTGTGTCAAACAAAATGAAGGTTCCTATGATGTAGTTGTTAGCGAGAGGAGGAAGACTCACAAAGTCCCTCAGCTCCATTCCCTCGGGGATGTCGGGGAAGAAGTAGGAGATGTTCTGGGGCCCTGCCATCGGCTGCTTGCGACCCTTCTTCTGCTGGTCCTCCTTAGCAAAGAACCTCATGAAGTTTGGCTGGCTCTCTCCAGACTCCTTCTGGACCACACCCGTGTCAACCCCTGCAACAACATTACATCATCATTATGTCATTGGACATACACCCGGCAAAAAAATATTAAATCGTCACTAACCTAGGCTTACCACAATACATCTATGGAAATCTACAACATTGTAAACCCATTCCCAAAATAGTCATACCAACCATTGCATCATCATTACATCATAGAATAACCCACTCTTCATGGTGTCCATATCGTCCTCTGTGTCATCCACAATCACCAATGTCCCAAGATCAAACTCCTTTTCCACCATTGTCCCGTTACCACGACTACTGCTGGGGTACTGGTTGAGCAGGGTGTTGGCCTGTGCGGTGAAAAACTCGTCTTTCTCCTCCTGGGGTCAAAGGTTAATGATATTCACTGTCAAAAAAAGGTGTGTTGAAAGTTGCTTTTATTCAGAGGTGCTCTTTAATTGGGAGTATTATATTCATCCAAGTGTTCTCTCTAAAGAGGTGTGCTTTATTTGGAATCATTGATTGAGAGGTTCCACCTTACATCATCATATGAGAGTATGTGTTTACCTCTTCCTCCTCTCCCTCTTGCTCCTCCTCCTCTACCAGTGACATTGCATACTGCACCAGGTCCTTCAGTACATTTACTGTCTTGGTCAACCTGGAGACATGGATCACATGACTCTCACGTGATGTCACGTGAATATACCATTACATCATCACCTTAGGAACTTGTGTTGGAGTAGGGCGGTGGCAGATGGTCTCTCCTCTGGGTTCTTCACCAGGCATTTGGAGATGAAGTCACAGAACTCTGGACTGAACTTCTCCGGTTCCTTCACAGTCGGAGGAGGCTTTGTCGGTATCATGAATATTGCCTGACAGGGAAAATGGGAGGGAGGGAGAAAATAATAAGAGAAGTTATCCCAAAATTTCACGGGAAAAATCAAAATTTGAGTACTCCAGAATCAAAATTGTGTTCGGAAGTTTCGATGTCTAAAACTGAGTTGAAGAGAAAAAAGTAAGAGATAAAGTACTAACCCTCATGGGGTGTACGTCAGCATAGGGTGGTCTGCCCTCTGCCATCTCGAGAGCGGTGATCCCAAGAGACCAGACGTCAGCGAGACAGTCATAGCCGACCTCCTGGATGACCTCTGGGGCCATCCAGAATGGAGTCCCGATGACCGTGTTTCTCTTGGCCATCGTATCCTAGCAACACAGAGTGGGGAGAGGAGTTTGCAGGGACAGTTAGAACATGAAATCAACTTGAAGTGTTGGATTGCAACAAAGCATAGCAATAAACCATGAAAGAACTGTGTAAGTAGTCCAGATTTTAACAAACTTACTGTTAGCTGTCCTGCCACTCCGAAGTCAGCTGTGAGGGAAAGAGGGGGAGGGAAAGATGGAAGATGGAAGAGGACTAATAGCAGCTGTAATTGAGGGGGTCTGCCCCTCACCGAGTTTGGCCTGTCCGTCCAAGTTGAGAAGAATGTTCCCTGCCTTTATGTCTCTGTGTATCTTTCTCTTGAAATGGAGGTACTCGAGTCCTTTCAGAGCATAGTACAGTATCACCGCTATTTCTTCTTCCTTTAGCTGTGGGTGAGTCACACGGTATGTCAGTTAGTTCATATGAAACAGTTGAACCAAAGTCTCTAATCAGGACACCAATGGGACAGAGGAAAGTGTGTCCATATTAGTGGCGCGTCCTTATTAAGGAAGATACTATTCATGGGGAAAGAAAAGGTATTCTTATTTCATTTCAGGGGTGTCCTTAGAGAGGCTCAAAGTATGGAAGACTGAAGAAAGAGGTGGGGTGGTGGGCTTTAATTAGGACTCACAGGTCGGGGTATGATTCTCATTATGTCGGACACCGACCCAGCACCGCAGTACTCCATCACAATCTGGGGAATATTCAGTAGACCAGGGGTTAAAAGACTATTAGGTCAATACACAAACTCACCCACAAGTCTGTGTTCTTGAAGTAGCTTCCGTAGTACTTGACAACATAAGGACTGTGGAATTCAAAGACACTCTATGATGTCATCTAGTGTTGCCAATAGCAACAGTCTCTGTCTATTTACGACAGATGCTAGTCTACACATGACACATGATTATTTAGACTGCTGCATAGGAAATGGCAGCACTAGATGGCCGCTGCCAGTGTGAAAATGACACATTCTTCGGGAAATAAACAGGAAGTAAAACACAACTCAGAACCATCTCCAGACCTCAGTATCACCAACAGAAACGAGCGAGCTCTGCACAGCTTTAGGTTGAAACATTCTACCACATTTTCACAAGGATTCGTTGAGTGAACTTTCGCGGACGGATTAATTCTTCTCTCTAAACGGAGACCCCACCCCCCCTCACCTGTCACACTGCTGCATGATGCTGATCTCTTTTATGATGTCCTGGAGGTCAGAGTCCACGGGGACCTGCTTGATTGCCAGGAGCTGCCCCGACTCCTTGTGCACCGCCTTGAACACTGCACCATACGCCCTAATTAGAGAGCACCACAACTCAATATCACCAAAACAAGTTCAGCATTCCTCTGAACATGGTAGAATTCCTAAAAATGGTCAACTGTGGTTTGATTATTGTAGTGAGACATTCACCACACAATGCAGGACCAGAGGTTGGTCTACAAGAGATTCACAAAGTATAGGAACTAGAGATACATCACAACACGGTCTCCTACACCGTCAAGACTTGTACTTCGACACGCACACACTAATGTGCGAGTCCTGGATTTATACTTCGATATTCGGCCACAACAGGCACGAGGATACGACACAAGTCACCCAGGGTGCTGTGAACTGACTCACCACCCTCCAAAACTAACACCACAAGCTTTATAAAGTCTCCGGCCCGGTGTCTAACACGGCACACACTGCACTCACCCCTCGCCTATCTTCTCTTCTAAGTCGAAGACCTCCTCCGGCTCCTTCATGAGGCTCTCTTCACTCAGCTTCACCAGTTGCTTCTGGGACGACGACATGGCGACCACACTCTCTCTCACTTTCTCTGACAATCTATCTCTGTCTCTGGCTCACGTACATACGGATGTCACTGTGTGTGTACGTGTGTATGTTGTCCTATTGAACACACTGCGCATGCGCATATTTTGACTCCACCCACCAGCTCCACCTACAAAGCGTGCACCATGTGGCAGCAGCGACTCGAGCAAGTTCTGTTTGTCTCTCGTACGGCCTTCAAATGGGGCTGGATACCTCTCCTTCTCTACCTCGGTAAGACTGGAGAGATGCTTCTCACGTGAGCTCACGTGACTAACTCCCACAGGTATCAGGAGAGGAGCCACTGACCCTGGAGTGCCCCCACCTTCACTTTTCCAGTAAGTCGATCATTATAGTGGTCACGTGACTCTGAGCCTTTCCATGCAGAGCATTGTGGGTTCTCTAGAAAAACACAAGCCTTCATTTGTTGTCAAAAATAATCGACATGATTGTGTAATAATAATTATCAATTTTCAAATGTCATAATAATTGAATCAAAAATTGATCTAAAATGTTGAATAGTACACATGTATTAATTCCGGACACACTACCTAAATTATTGGCAGGGGACTAGGGGGTGTGGTCAGTGTGGAAGGTGGTGGTGGGACGTTGATATCTGGACATAATTGACAGGGAAAACCCCCAATCTGCCAGGCTCGCCTTCCACATGTCCTTGCTGTGGAGGAAGAGGAGAGGAAAGAGATAATCTGAGATCTTGGCCCATGAAAAGTGGAAGTTGTTTGAAAAAACAAATCGAGACCTTTGGTGCATCAAAGAACTTCAAAGATTTGAGTGTATGAACAGTTCAGAAGTATTATAACACAACAGATAATGAAGCAGCGTGCAATAAGGTCTACTTGAAGTGTTGTCAAGTGTGGTGTGTTTGGAACTCACCCACCAGTCGTGGTTAATCTTCCTAGTCACCACTATCCTCTCTCCCTCCTTGAACCCCAACTCATCCTTCCTGTCAGGCTGGCAATCGTACAGCGCCACTACCACCAGCGATGAAAACTGCAGATATAACAGACATGTATCATTCAGAGTAATTTTACTGCACAAGTGTCAATGGAGGAGTTGCTGTACACATGAACCCCACGCCAGAAGCTAGTAAAATATACTACAGTTTCTGTTCTAACGAGCCAGAGTGTGGGGATGTCTTACGTGAGGACGGTTGTCCCTCTCCTCCTGCTGCTGCTGCGTGTCAGAAAACATGGACACTCGCTTCTTCTTGTCCCTCTTTGGAGGAACTGGTCTGGCATACCTCTGCCTGCAGTGCAGTGGTGAGTGTGTGTACATTACAATGACAAATTTCCAGAGCATAATAAGCCCGCCTTATAGTATGCCAGACTAGGCTGAAATATCCTAGTGTTCAAGGTTGTTATAGTACGAGGATGTAAACAGCAAGGCAACTATAATTTACACACTTATTGATAGGTCTGGGTGTTATTTACATGTCATGTGACACTCACACGGGCAAGGCCTCGGCGTTCTGGGAGGCCCCCCGCGGAGGAGGGGGTGGTGGCCCCTTGGGCGGAGGGAACACACCCGGCTGGGGGGCGGGGCCAATATGGCGAGGCTGAGTGTCTGGTGTGCTAGACGCTGACTTGGAGGGTACAACGGTCGAGAGAGGCCTTCGTCTCATTAGGTTGTCGTGAGCTGACGGACTCTTCGGCACCGTTGGAGGCGTCTTCGACTCTGGATTACATCATAATTACATCATTGTATCGAAGCATAACACAGTGAAACAGACAACTTGGGGACATTGAGGGTCCATTATTCATAGACAAAATGATGTCATAATAATTATACCAGAGATATTTCCGGTGGTGTCACTGCGTTTGATGGAGGATCCGTGGTGGGGCAAGTTGGGAGAGGGGAGAGGTTGGCTGGCCAGGGTGGGGGTCTGGTAAATCTCATCATCCTCGTCCTCCACTCCCCAGTCTATATCAATGTGTTCACCCTTACCAAACTTCTTCTTCTCTGCATCTTGCAGCTGGAATACAGACAGACACATCAGGTTATGCTCTGGTGCCACTTGTGATGGATATTTATAAAGTGGTCTCGAGGAGCACATTTCACTTTATGCATACCGTCACGAACATTAACATTAAAAATGATGTCTCCCGGTCTCTATCTCCCTCACCAATTCCATACATTCTTCATGTGACTTGTCTTTAGCAATGTCCACTGGAGACACTCCTGCATTGTTCTCTACAGGGACCACAACCAGTAATCTCTCAGTATACTGTCAGTAAACTAAGCTCAAAACATGATGTAAATTGTTGGCTCACTATACAGTAAACTGTCAGTAAACTAGGCTCACTGATGGTGCTGTCGGCTCCGTGCAGGAGGAGGAGTTTGACACACTGAGCGAGGTCGTTGCCGACGGCGAGGTGGAGAGGGGTATTCCCCTCTGAGTCCACGCAGTTCTCAGTCCGTCCGTTGCCTAGGAGAAAGTCGACAATGTGGAGTGATGTCATGTCCTCCAGTTCGATGGCGAGGTGGAGTGCGGTGTACCCCATGGGGTACCCCGGCAGTGGAGTGCGCAGGTCCACTCCCTCTGCATACACCTGCAGCAGAGTCACATACACAACAACTGTCATAGAACTACATTTTGAGGCTAAAATTGTTGTTACTAAAGTTGTTTTGCACAATGAGGATGGGCATTGAAAGTTTGGAGCTATCGACAAGACGATAGAGGCTAAAGAAGAGGTGTACGTATTAGGGACCTGGAGGAGTTGTTTGATATCACGAGACTCGATGGCATCGAGTAGTTCAGAGAGTAAAGCATCTTTCCCGACACTGGCCTCGGTGTACCGTCTGTGGATGTACTTGTTGGTGATGAATTCATGTCGTACCTCACTGAGAGGGACAGAGGTAGGTATGTAGAAATTGATAATGAAGGTAGAACAAGAGAATAATAAGGAACTAACGTGGAGCAATCAGGTGCAGGTTTAGATTCCATCAGGTTGGCTTCTAAAACTTCATTCAGTAGTCCATTACCCATTACCAGTGCTATCTGGAGGAAGACGAAGAGAAAGAGTACGAGAAGGAAGAAGATTGGGAGGAGAGGAGGGAGAATAAAGCTAACAGCTGGCAACAAGTGCATATGTAAGCAAAGCAAAAAGCTCCCGAAACACACACACACCCTCACCAGCAGTTCAGGAGTCTTGAGACTGTCCAGCTCCAGCGACCTGATTCTGGAGTACTGGACTGAGAGTTCCCGATGTCTCCCCGAGCAGTGGATGCAGATGAGGATCCCGAGATTGACACTCAGCCATGTCGGCTCCGGACCGCCGCAGTCACAGCACTTGTCGTTGCCAGGGAGACTGCGGATCCTTGTTACGATCCTCTGGAGAGGGACACAATGGGAATGAGAAGACAGCGACTTGTGTCTGTGTATATACCTAACACTATTTCGTTGTACCTAAACACTTATTTTTCTTGCCTTTTCCTTCATTACCACCACTTCCGACAAAGGTTTGAACCGTTTTGCATTTGTTGTACGCACACGAGTAAACGAAACGACAAACCAACAATGCTTCACACTTTGACTATAGTTGGAGGTTGGAATAGCGATACTATCTCGCTGTACCTAAACACTTATTTTTCCTTCATTACCACCCCTTCCGACAAGGGTTTGAACCGTTTTGCATTTGTTGTACGCATACGAATAAACGAAACGACAAACCAACAATGCCTAACAGTTTGACTATAGTTGGAGGGTGGAACAGCGATACTATCTCGCTGTACCTAAACACTTATTTTTCTAGCAATTTCCTTCATTATCACCCCTTCCGACAAGGGTTTGAACAGTTTTGCATTTGTTGTACGCACACGAGTAAACGAAACGCCAAACTAACAATGCTTCACACTTTGACTATAGTTGGAGGTTGGAATAGTGATACTATCTCGCTGTACCTAAACACTTATTTTTCCTTCATTACCACCCCTTCCAACAAAGATTTGAACCGTTTTGCATTTGTTGTACACACGTGAGTAAACAAAATGGCAAACCAACCATCCCTGATACTTTGACTATAGTGGAATACCAACACTATCTCGCTGTTTCAATCTCGCCTCTATTCACACCGTCCCTTCACCAATATCACACACAGATTGACGAAGGCACAGAACAAGAAGACAGAGGATAGTAAAAGGAGGTGATCTGTTAGGAGCTGAGCTAGACAAACTCACCCTCACTAGCTCCTTGTGTTCCCGGGCAGTGCTGGTGCGGCTGCTGTTGTAAGTGCTGCGTTGTCTATGAAGAGTGCTCTCCTGAAAACCACAAGACAAACAAACGTAGCGTCTCGTTTGTTGTTTTAACCCTCTGCAGACCCACCTCGGCGTCCCCTGCAAACAGCTTCAGCTGCACATTCTGCATCGTCTCCCGCCACTCCTTGAGGTCCTTCTCAGACTCAGCATCAAACACATACGTCTTGGTCTCTGAAAATGAAAGTGTACAACTAAAAACACAGAAACTTTTCAAGTGAGAAAACATTCGTCAAAGGCATGGAAAAATGTTTCCCCAATTATTAAAAGTCGCTCCTAACCCATGGAGATATACAACTCAATTTTAACTCAATTTTAGCTCCCAACCAACATAATAAACGGAGGAAAGCTACAAACTCACTCAATCTTCTAAATTTGTGTGTGAAATACATATTCTTCTCCCTCACTCCGCTCCCCACTATGTGTAGGACTAACGTGTGATGAGCTTGAAGCAGAAGGGTCTGCCCTCCACAGGCTCCGCCTCCTTGAACTGGAAATGGATGACTGGAATCTTCACGTGGGGGGCGTGGTTCTGGGGATACAGGGGAACAAAAATCATCACTCTGGACCCCCAGACAAATCGGACCCCTCATGGTAAAATTTTACCCCTACAAAAGTCGGATTTCTCAAAGCAATCAGACCCCTAACGGTAAAATTGGACCCCTCAGGGAAAAGTTGGACCCCTCAAGGTAAAAATCTGACCCCTCACTCACGTGGCTCTGCCCCATAGTGAACCCCTGCATGCTGACGGTGCAGTATTTCTTGGGCCACGCCTTGCGAGCCAGTCTCAGAGGGTTCTCCGGCCTCTTCCCCAGGTACCCCTCCTTGTCCGTCAGACCTGTACTGGCACTGGGGTCCAGGTGAGTGGGGGCCTGGATTTTGGTCCCGATCCCCAGAGCCCCCCGCAGACGTTCCCTCGCTACCTGCAGCTTCTTCTTCTCTTCGTCCTGCGTCGCCCGCATCTGGGGTCATGTGACAGTCATGTGATATCAGGTGAGTTGGGGGTAGGGGCGAACCTGTGAGATTTGACTGTTGAACTTTGCCTCCCAGTGCTTGAGAGCGGCCAACACCATCCCACCCTCCCTGAAATACCTGCACACACACACACACACAGATGTACATGGAGCACAATGAAAAACTTCAGGTCAGCCGTACGTGTCTTGTGCGTGGTAGTATGCAATGAGATGCTCTGCCAGATCCACTCCTTCCTTTGTCTTGACATCGTTGAATCTCAACATGTACTGTGGGGGAGTAACTTGGAGTGATTATGGTTAATTAAGTGGGAAATGGTCTAGTAATAGTGAGGGGGTGTGGTCTAGTAATTGAGAGGGCGTGGGGCTAAGTATACACTGAGGGGTTTGGGTGAGAGGTGAGGAATGTGTGTCTGTCAGTACTCAGTGGACCTAATACACACACTCTGATATGTAACGTACACAACTGCACCCACACACAACCCTTCTCTCTTTCTCCCTCCCTTCCTCCTCCTCTCACCTCACATACTCCTAGCTGGAACCTTCTCCTCTCAGTTATAAGCTTCCCTGACAACTGGAGAGTGGGGCAACACATGAAATGAAGAGAAAGATGGAGAGACTTTTCCCGCAAACCTCCTCGCCAGAGAAGACTCTCTCAGTGACATTACAGCCAGCGGCAGCCAGGGTCTTTCTCTCTTCCTTCTCCACTTTGTCCCTGTGTGTGTGTGTGTGTGTGCGCGTGTGTGTGTGTGTGCGTGTGAGTATGTGCATGTGTGACATCGCAGAATGGAAGAATGTTGAGTGAAAGTAGCTCACTTGGCACTCTGGTACTGCCCTGTAAGACTCTTTATATCTGACTTGTACTTGTTCTGCAACAGTAGCACATAAACAGTATACAGTACTGTATACAGAGGTTACATATTATATACACTATACTTACTCCTTTCATTTCGTTGTCAAACAACATGCTCAGAGAGTAGAAAATTATGTTCCTCGTCGATGTTGCCTGGGTATCAGAAAATAAACGACATCATCATTACATCACAGAGAAAAGGCAGCATCAAATGTCTTGTGCCAGAGTTTATAAGGAGATGGTGTTTTGTAGTGACTTTACCATATTTGACAGAAGACTTGACATTTGCTGCAGAGAGAGGGAAGAGAGAGGGAGGGAGTTAAGTGAAAATGGTTACGAAGGTTGCTGTACCAACATTGACTACATGTGTTGACTTACATTCATTAATGTCCCAAACTTGACAAACGAGTTTCCTGGGTGGGAGAGAATTGCCAAATATAGAAACTAAAACAAACCCTCACCACACACCAAAAAGTTCCACAACATTCGAAACACACTCCATATTCCAACACACATGTACCTATGTACCTATGGTGGGATCGGTTTGGTTGACATGTGTACCAAACCTCACCAGATGATCCGCCAGTGTCCCCATACACTGACCATGTTCTGTGGCGAGGGGGAGAAATACACACACAGTGGAGGTGTAGCGAGGGTAAGAAAGGAAAACTTACGTTCCCCTGCTCTGCTCAGCTCCTTGAGAGCTCCACACAACTTGTGGATATGAGTCTTGTCGCCTGCTAAACTCTGCAGAGAGAAAAGAAACCTTGGCAAAATGTCTCCTCTCCATCGTCTGTCTCTTCCTAAACTCTCGGCCCTTCTCTCTCTCTCTCTCTCTCTCTCACACACACACACTCTTTCTCTCTGTTATAATGAAACGTTAGCCTCACACCTGTAACTCTAGAAGGTCTCACGCAGTAATAAAACCAACCTCTTCCATGGCCTGCAGGTTCTTTCTGCTCTTGGGGATGTAGTCCTGAAACTTGGAGTTCCCCGGAGCTCCAAAGTCATCCTCTATCTCCTTGAGAAACTGCTCAATGGACTGAGAATGCTGCAGCTTGTCCGGCACAAACACAGCCATTACTGGATCTGGGAGAAAGAGGAAAACTTTCTTTCTCCGAGTTTTGACCTCAGAAGTGTACTTTCACAGCGCTAGTAGCTGTCCGTATATACTCACTTATGAGAGTAAAGCGTTTCGTCAGCGTGTGTGTCGTGACTAGCTCACCTATTGCAAGAGGTACGGGGGCTGGAAGCCTACTGGCAGGTCGAGACGTCTCCTACGACACTCAGAACTTGCTCACTAGGCGTCTTCTCCCCTGGGAACCACGGCACAGCAGCCTCGTCTACACGCTCTACACCACCAAATCTCCGACTCTAATTATGCGAAAAAGGCGACCTTTGCGGGAAAAATTGAACTGAAGAAAGGTGAGAGAAGCGGAGAAGGCCATGTGGGGAAGGTTGAAGCAATTCGACGCCTACCCAAAGACTCTGGAGGACTTTAGAGTCAAGACCTACGTCGGAGCGTCAAGTAAGTGAGCTCACGTGACCTCACAGTATGTCATTCTGTTCTTCACGCCGCCCCAGTAACGCTGGTCAGTGGAGCAATTATTGTTATCCTCTTTCTCTCGGAACTGGCCTACTTTCTCTCCACTGACGTAAGCCGATGACGTAGCTCTCGGGTGTTGGTCCTAGATATATGTCCTGCAGGTTCGCGAGGAGCTGTTTGTGGACACGAGCAGAGGAGAGAAACTGAGGATCAATTTCGACATCGACTTCCCCCGAATGCCATGCGTCTGTGAGTCTATCATACCATCGGTCAAACGTCACCTAGCACGAAATAGGGCATACATTATCCACAGTTTTGTCTGCGTAGCCATTTTCTCCTCTGTAACCATGAGCCTTATTGTGAACAACAATACAGTGTTGTAGTCTGGCATCCCATTAAAGAGGATGCTTCTTCACAAAAATGGGGAAAGTTTTGAAATCTGGATATTTTCGTTGCGTTTCAGATCTGAGTATAGACGCTATGGATGTGTCTGGAGAGCACCAGTTGGATGTGCTGCACAGTGTCTTCAAACAGAGGCTGGGTGCGGATGGCAAGCCCATCGAGGAGACGGTGGAGCAGTACCAAATGGGAGGAGAGGGGGAAGAGGGAGGGGAGGAGGGGAGGGAAGGGGAGGGACAGGTGGCCTTGGCTGGGAAGAAGGAGTGTGGAAGGTAAGACGAGCTGGAGAGTGGAGGGGTGGGGAGGTGTGAGGGTGTGTCTGTGTGTGCAGTTGCTATGGAGCTGAGTCGGAGGACATGCCGTGTTGCACGACGTGTGAGGAAGTAAGGGAGGCGTATCGCAAGAAGGGCTGGGCCATCTCCAACCCAAAGGTTAGCTCCTGGGGAAAAGTCATTGTCACTTTCTGGATGGACGTAAGTGCATATCTGCCCAAAGAAAAATATTTTAGACACTTTTAGGGGCGTACGCAGGAGTGAGCTAACTAGATGAACAAGGCAATTCTCCATATATGTACATGTGTATGTGACCCAGTGGTACATTACTCTCCCACTCGCCAAAAATGCCAACTAGTAACACCTGATCTTTTCTCCCTCTCTCTCCCTGTGTGTCCAGGAGATAGCTCAGTGTGTTGATGAAGGTTGGACTGACCAGCTCAGGGATCAGGTGAGCCTCGAAACTCCGCCCCAAACTCCACCCACTAATCATGACATCATCACTAGGTGGACGAGGGTTGCAACGCCAAAGGTTCCATCGAGATCAGCAAAGTTGCCGGCAACTTTCATTTTGCTCCGGGGAAGAGTTTCCAGAGCCATTCAGTCCATGGTAAGATGACTGAGCACAGCATGCGGCTGTTTGACAGAAACACCTGCATAATCTAACACTACACATTAACGCAAGAGAGATGCGAGTTTGATTCCCGCCAAGTTTGAGCCAACAGAGTTACTAATACTCTAAAGACTCACGGCTACGTATGTTTGAATTCAGATATTATGTGAAGCTGAATAGCATTAACTAATGAAGAGAGTAAACATTTGCACTCTATTGTCTCGCCATCTTGCCTTAGTTCATGACATTCAGCCGTTTGGAACGAAGAAGTTCAACCTGACCCACACCATTCGCCATCTGTCATTTGGGGAGGACTATCCAGGACAGACACACCCCCTCGATGGGTATCAACAAGTCGCCACTGAAGACCCTCCCACTGGTAATGTAGAGTTGGTGCTAGGTTAACCCTGAGAGTTGAGATAGGTTGGGTACAATGCTATGGTACATGCCAGCAGCTTGTTGTGTTGTTATAATGTGCAGAAACCTCTTTAGTTGTTGTGCAATAAGGTCAGTTACCACTGCAATATCTGATAGCTGCACTTGATTGTTGCAACATGTCTGTTGATAAGGTCGCATCAGCTGTGGTAGAAGGGTTAAGTTTTAGAGTGGTGGTGTAAGGGTTAATTGTTGGTCTAAAAGGCAATTCATAAGTGATGTCAGAGGTGTAATAGTGTGGTCACAAGATGCAGTGGTCTATGATGCAATACCTGCAGCCCAAGTAGGGACTATGAAACCTTTGTACCCATACAGGAAGTTGCAAAACAGAAATGAAAGCCATTACATTTCCCCTCTGGCTACCCTCTTAGCATACCCTGCAGCCATGAAAATGTATCTTCCCCCTTCTCTCTCTCTCTCTCACTCTCACTAACTACAGGTGGGGTGATGTACCAATACTTTGTCAAGATAGTTCCAACAGTCTACAAGAACATATCAGGCTCTGTAAGTCACTCTCTCTTAGAGCAATGCCAACAGGAGATCATGTGATTATCATGTGATTCTGCACAGGTACTACAGACCAACCAGTTTTCTGTGACAAAGCATAAGAAAATATCAAGAGCACAGCACGGAGACTCAGGGTTGCCGGGTGCGCTCATCCATACCTCACCTGATGTATTATGGGAAAGTGTGGAGAAATGTTTGCAATGTCTGGCTGTACATACGCATAGACCTGTAAATAAAATGAGTTGGCAAAACGTTGCTAATTGCTTTCAAACTTCAGAAACCCCCATTACCATTATGTCTGGTGTATTACTGGGCTGCATACCCAAACTGCTGACTTGCTACTTTCCTTATTAGCCCTGGCACATTGCCTTATGTTTGGGCTGACTAGACAAGTTCCAATATCTGTATACAAATAACCACCTTAGGCCATGTGATAAGGACTATAGGGTTCCCATTGTTGTGTGCCTCAATGCCTTGTTTAGGGCTCCTCTGTTTTCAGGGGGAAATGCTTGGCCTGCACCCACATGGATAGTACAAACTCCTCCTCTGTTGTGACACATCAGCATTTTGGATGGACTTATCCTCTCTTGGTTTTCATGGCTAGAGTAGTGTGTGTGTGCTGGGGCGTGTGTGGGTTGCTGTGATACACAAACCCTAAAGGTCCTGTCTGAACCAGTGAAAACAAAATTCAGGCTCTGTTATCACAAAGTACAGTAGTACATGAGGGTTTGTTCACAGGCTTGTTCCTCAGTGATACAAACCTTTATCACTACCCATTATCTCCTCTGGAATGCAGGTGTGTTCTTCATGTATGACCTGTCACCCATGATGGTCACCCTGACCGAGACCAGTCGTTCCCTCACCCACTTCTTGACTGGTGTGTGTGCCATTGTGGGTGGAGTCTTCACAGTGGCAGGGATGGTGGACGGAATGCTCTACCACTCACAACGAGCACTGAAAAAGAAGATAGAACTCGGCAAAGCCACGTAGCACATCGTCATGACATTACGGCTCTTCTTTCAATTCCTTTATACATTTTTCTATGCTAACATGTGGGTCTATGAGTTGTGGTAATGTGGTGACAGAGGCTGTGTTTAAATTTGGGGTGGTATGTACATTGGGCAGTTTCTAAACATGTGCACCTAGGAAGCAAACAGTTAGAAGACTTGAATGATGTAATATATAGCAGCCCAATTCATTGGCAACTGCCCTTTCCTTCTGAAGACGTGCACCCAGATTTACATTCCGTGATTACATTCCAGGCCAATTGTGTTGTTGGGAGAGTGAGAGAGGAAATCCCTGAAATGGTGTCCTGTTGTGCTGATCTGGGCCCAAGCCATATCACCACAGAACATGGATGGTTATTGCTCAATAATAGGCAGTCAGCATGTCAGCATGTTGGGCCAAGACACCCAGTACACAAAGCACATGAAAAATACAACACGTTACAACAACACACAAGTGTGTGGAGAGACGGTAGTTTGTGACAGCAAGCAGCAGTTTGAAGGGTAGGTGTGGAGGTTGTAGCAGTGAAGACTAAAGTCGTAGGAGTGGGTGTCTTATGAGGATGCGAGGTGCGCAAAAAAGGAAAACTAAAAGCAAAAAAGTACTAAAAGAAAAAAACTATGGTGGAGTGGTGGAACTCTGGGCTCAGTAGAATTTCCCCTTCTTGATGGTGGGCACCGTCTGGTCTGCGAGGGGTGCCGGTAACAAAGGTTCATCGGTTGCCTTCTCGAACCAGGGGTGATGGAGGAGGATTTCAGCAGGCACCCTTCTGGCAGGGTCATAGGCCAACAGGGAGCTGATGACATTCCTCCCAAGACGAGACACACCCTCCGGTACCCCGTAGTTACCACTGCGGATCTTGGTGAATAGCATCTGCGGGTTGGTGTCGAAAAACGGGTAGTGTCCGACAAGCAGTGTGTACAGGATGACCCCCAGACTCCACAGGTCAGCAGCCTGTCCACTGTAGCTGCCAGGGAGGAGCATCTCCGGGCAGATGTATGCCGGGCAGCCGTGACGGTCAGTCAGAATGTCTGATCCATTGTGCAGGTGGGCATCATCTAGAGTATGAAGCCTCAGCTTTGTCCTGAGGGGAAGGGAGAAGGAGAGATAATGAGTGTCAGGAATGTGAGGGTGAAAGCCAAATGTGGGTGTTTACTATTGGAAGATGGAATTCACAGTGGGACTATCCTCCTAGGGTGACATGAAGTCACCAGTCTAGATCACCATGATCATTTACACCCATTGAATGAGCAAGCAAGAGAGAGGGGGCTAGAAAGGAGAAAGAGAGAAGAGGGGATGAGAAGGTGAAAACTCACTTTTTCTCGTCTTCAAATACAAATTTCTTCAGCTTCAAGTCTCGGAGCACCACATTCTTGCGGTGTGCGTCTCTCACAAGAACTACTATCTGCCTAAATATGCTCGCAGCGATTCCTTCCGTCAGTTTTCGTCGCTGCTTCAAGAAGTTGTGTAGATCGCCAAACGGCCTGGGAGAAAACACGTAGAACTTGTCGTTGAGTTTAGTCACATCCAAAACCTTGTGAACTCCTTCAATGTCACTGTAAATTAGTGGAGCTAGGGCCAAGAAAGTTTTAGCTGGGTACTCTTTGCAGTGGCGTAGCTCCCGAGTACGGAGGTCTACTGCGTGGTGCTGGTCCGCTTCTTTGTGGCTCAGGTTGACGACGTAATGTCCCAGGGTGAGGAGCTCGCTGTCTGCGGGGAAGGGGAGAGGAGGGCATCTGGCGCACTCGTTAGTCTCTTCGGACTGTTCTTTTAGCTGGTGAAGGAACGTAGCCAGAGACACCATGACACTCTAAAGGCGCGGCAGCTCTGCGTCAACGTGGGCGCACGCGGTAGAACCAACTACAGCCACAGTTACGTCGGGCGAGAAGACAGCGAAGGGGTGAAATTCGCGGGCGTGTGTCGGGTGGAGGTCGGTGGTTTCAAACTGCTTCTTCGCGTTGTTACCTAGGTGAGAGGGCCTGCGGGCATCGGAGGGAAGAGTTGCGCGATCGTTTCCCGTCGTCCGTCCTGCGGTGTCGAGTCGCGGCCCAGCTCGCAGCTCTGAAACCGTCTCCACGGCTTCAAATCTAGCAAGACAGGGTCACCATAGCCTGGTAAAGTAGAGAGAGCCAGTCAATAGGTCGTGTTGTAGGTCTTGCGCAAGAGTCCCTGGCCACCAACTTATCCCAACCACTGCCCTGCCCTCTCTTTCGTCAGCCAACCCTTGCCGTGTTTTGAATGGGAGCCACCGCATACTGCTGACGTCACCTAATCGTGTTCTTCCGCGCAATTAACGATATTCACGACCTTCGCATGCGCAGCGTCAGCACATACCACACAATAAGGTCGCCAGTGCATGCAGCGAGCCTCTGGACATGATGACACAGCACTGCAGCACATGTCACAACTGCTTGCAATTCCTGGTGACACCCCCAACCTTTTACAGCCACTGTATCCATAAGTGTGTCCAATATCCACTTACAGTGTTGGCCTCACAAGGACTCCAAGTGTTGCAAAATAATGCGTCTCTTGTATGAACTAAGAGCGACAGTCAGTCTGTGTCATGAGGCTAGCACTCCACTGTTCAGAGAAGCAAACAAATTCTTTGAGTGGGAAGCAAAATACAGAGCATATGAAAACAAACTTTACACAGGAAATAGAAAGAATGGTATAATGTACACAACAACATGAGGGTGAGTCATGTTTTGACAACCATCTTTATCATGGGAATGGCCTTGTGGGTGATGCAGAGGTTGCAGGCCCATTCGGCAGAGTCCTCTGTCGTCAGGAGATCGTATGCCACTTTACTCATCCCCGTGCACTCCCTGTGTCAAAGGACAAATGGCAAACTGAACTCATCATAGTCCAACATATGCCACCTTTCTTTCACTAGACTCATCTTCCTGCCACCCCAACGGATGCTGCAACAAATGGGTCACGTGATCAGGCCACACCCACCTGTGGTACCACTGCTCGCAGCCACTCTCACAGTAGATTGCCTCGTCGTTGTCTTTAACCTCCTTTCCACATTCTCCACAGGGAAATTTCTCTCTCTCTCCTTCACCACTCCCCACACCAGCACCCTCTCCTTCGTCACTCTGAGGTGAAAAAACTCCGTTTGAGTTCTTTTACACCTCTTCTCCCTCACTACTCACCAGCAGCAAATCCATTACGGCGTCACGCGCATGCGTGATAGGCGGAGCGAAATAGAGGTGTGCTCTATTTAGGAATTTTTCCAACGACTTGAGGCCTAGTTTATGTATATACGGCTTGTATCGTGATCGGAGGTAGGGAGACCGCATCCACCATGGCCGATAGCTTTATCTACTGCTTTACGCACGGCACCAGTGTAGCTACAGACTCTCAGCTGACGGAAAAGTAAATTTTGCCAGCAGAGTTGTCTAGTTCTCATTATGGGCCATTATGCCCGCTCTCCCCCCCACACACAGACTCCAGGACCTGTCTCAGGCGGCGGCTAGTAGTCCTCCGAAGGGCGCCAAGGGCAGGTACTGACCTTCCGTCGCATCTGTCTGTCTCGCACCACGTGCAGTTTCCAATTACTGCCGCCCATTCTCTCTCTCCTCAGATGTTTGAGTGTCGCAGCTGGTGTCGTGCTAGAGTGCGTGGTGAGTGAGAGTCACGTGGTCCTCTTACTGGAGGGAGGGACTCTGAGAAGAGTCAGGTACTCTGAGGAGCAGCTGAAGGAGAAAAAGTTAGTTCCTCTTGATCCGCATGTGCTGAGCGAACTAGTGGAGTTATGTTTGTACAATGCATGAGCGTAAGGCCTGTTGATGGGGAAGAGGAGGCAAATGTAATGCATTTTTAACGAGATAAGGGGAAAAGACGAAACATTGAGCGAGATATGTAGGGGGGAAGACGAAAAAGGTTGAAGCGGAGTCATAAATGTACTTTCTCTCTCTCTCTCCCCTAGTGAGGAACCTACTCCCTCACATGGTAAGAATAACTGTAGAGCTGGTGGTGGTAACCTATGTATTTACTCCCTGGGTTTAGCATCCCGCAGCTCATCTCCAAGGTCAGAGGTCAACGATGATGTAAACAGAGTCCCCTCCAGCTCGTTAGTCACAGAAACACTGCAGTACCGCCCACATGTACACGCCTCTCTCTTCTCTCTGACAGTCTGTCGTGGGGTGTGGTGCTGGGAGAAGGGGGCGGGGCTCTGGGGGCAGGGTCTTCTTATGCAAGTGGAGTCTCGCGACTGGCGTCTCGTTCCCGCATGCTCCTCCGTCGACGGGGTGGTGGGCGTGGCCTCACGTCACGCTGGCCCCTCGTCCCGGCCTCCGATGTCCCTGACTCACTCATCAACCAAGTCTGATGATGTCATTCTGATGTAATGTGTATTACCTTGCGCGATCCCTACAGGCGATGGCGGTTTTGCAGGGGAAATCCCGTGAGGCTGTCATACGAGAGCTCCAACGAACAGTGAGTCCCATTCCCATTCCCCATGTTTCCATTCCGGTGTCGTTGTCCTCAGAACCTGGATGTCAACCAGGCAGTCAACAACCTCCTCAGTAGAGACGACGATGATGGAGGAGACGGAGAGGGGAGCGAGGGAGACCCTCTCATTCCAGCTGCCTTCTTCCCCTCCGGAGGTCAGCTACAGTCTCTGTAGTTTATTATTGAAGTCAAAATATCCGACTTTTTTGACTGCTACACTGTGTTGCGTCAAATGATGCGGATTGTGAAGTTATGTCACTAAACCGGTACACATGCCTATGCATGCAACTTTTACACATCAACTGGTGACTCTTTTGTGGCAAAATTGATTTGTGGAAATTCTATGAAGCCGAAACTAGTTGAGTCTAACACTGTCTCTGATCAGATGAGTTGCTGAGTCTACTGGGGTCGGTGGGTGCAGTGGGACCAGGAGAGGAAGACATGGAGGAGGGGGCGGGGCCGGGCCGGCCGGTGAGAGAGAGCGGACCTCGGGGTGACGAGGGAATGAGGGAGGAGATTGCTGGGAGACTGTCGCGAGCCGTTCTCGATGAGCTGGGTGGAGAACCTCTCGTTCTTCCCGTACGTTGGTTCTCTAAAACTTTCAGTTGTTAATGCAGCGATGAACAAGGCCTGAACAATCCGAAATAATTGTTCTATCGCATAGTAGAATTATGCCCATAAGTATCGAGAATGTAGTCCTTAGGTTTTGGTGTTTTACAGCATTCATGATGATTTTTACCAACTAGATTCTGGAATTAATGGTGAAATTGAATGTGTCTAGGGAGAAGCTGTAGGAGCCAGAGGAGAGGGAGGTAGTGGGGGGCGAGAGAGGAGGGAAGAGGGGAAGAAGAGGAAGGTGGGAGGTGGGGGGAAGTCGACCAAAAAGGACACACTCCCCACACCTGTCTTTTTTGAGGCGGAGTCGCCTCTCGTCCTGGGCGGAGCTGCCCCACCCTTCACTCACATCACCAGTCTGCATTCCGAACTGGTTGCTGTGGATACAGAGGGAGCACTGTGGAGGTGGGCGTGGAAGAGTGCGATTTTGGAGTCACACCCCCTCGTTAGCGAGCTTGGTCTGGTCGGGGAGAGTGTGAGACTGTTGTCAGGGAAACAGCTCCGCGTCTCCGTGGTGACTGACTCTGGAAAAGTGAGACCCATGATAAACTTAGATATCAACATCTGTTCAAATACGTACAAGACAACCTCTCTAGAAAGTAATTCTGCATACTAATGTTTTTATAAGAGATGATTCTGCATTAACATAACTTTCGCTATCCCCAAAGTGTCTCTTATTCTGAGGTTTCACTGTTCATCGTCCTCTGCAGCTGGCGAGCTGGCTGGACTGGAGTGTGTCCCCGGTGGCTAAACTGGTGGAGCACTCTGCCTTCACTCCCAGTGAGCTGGCAGGAGACACTGTCGTTCAACTCGTCTCCTCCCACCTCTTCTCTGCCGTTCTCACCGCCTCCCATAAGATCTACTGGTGGTGAGACATGCACCACTACACTTCCCACACTCTGACATGATCTTGTCAACAACTAGATCAACCTGCTAATACCTGTACAAAATACTAACACGAGTTTTCATTGCAGATAAGGTCAATTTCTGTAGTTCAAAAACTGCCCTAACAGTGCCTTTAGTGATCGAAGACAAGTTCTTCATTTGCTGGTCAACATTAATTTTTCCATTATTACGTGTTTTGTGACTCTAAACTTAGTCATAACAAGGATAGCATTCATTAGTTGCCTTTGCCCTTGCAACCTTGTCGTCGTTTGCCGATTCTCGTCCCTCATTCAGGGGACTCCTGCCGTTCCCGGAGAGGAAGCAAGCAGTGGTGGATGTTCAAGAGAGACTCAGAGGTTCCGGAAGATTCTCAGGCGGCAGCAGCGAGGGGGGTGAGGTGCAGCTGGACAGCCTCGTCTGCCTCAGGTCCAGCCCTATATACACTGCTGGGACTAAAGCCATCTACTGCAGGGGACATAGGCTCCAGGTACACTGTAGTATACTACTAGTCAAATTTTCACTATTAAACTGGTAGTTAAATTGAAATTTTAAGCACCTCAAATTTTTATTTCCCCCTGTTCCCCAGTGTGGCATCCTGCAAGAGAGCGTGTTTTCCTGTTCCATGTCTGAAAAGTGCCGATTTCGTGTTGTGACCGCCAGGGATGAACCTGTCGAGACGGAGCCGTCCGAGGGGTCAAAAAGGACGGGCGAAGAAGGGGGAGCCCCGCCCACACCACATTTGGGGGTGAAACGTCGTTACCATGACGACGGGGCTGGAGGTCGCGAGGAACAGTGGTCGCTGCACGACGTAATATTCACGGACCGAGTCCAGAGTGTGAGAGTGGGGAGAGTGGTGAAGATAGACGGGTTGTTTGCAGCTGTTCATTTCCCTGGGAGGAGGGAGGGTGTGCGGAGGGAGGGAGGGGAGGGAGAGGAGAAGATGGAAGAGGGAGAGGAGGGCGGAGTTCTCGGTAGATGTCGACTTCTGAGGAAAGATGATCTAGTGGTGAGATTGGTGACTTGTTTTGGTTGCCATGGCTACTACTGGTATTTTGTGTTCCAGCTGGCGACAGAGTCGCTGACTCGGAAGGTGCCCCACTATCGCCAAGACAACCTGGCGAGGCTGCGAAGCCCCGTACCCTCAGACACGCCCCTCGTGGTGTGCTGTGGTAGTCAGGGAGTCCACGCTCTGTTCTCGTCTCGTCACCAACTGTTCCATGTCAATTTCTCCCTATCAGGTATGTATATTTTATGCAGAAATATGCATGAAAAAACGACATAACCACATCTCTTACTCTCTCTGTGTTAATGTAACAGTGTCATTAACCCTCGGCGCGCATGCGCAGCGAGGGTTACGGTAGTTGGGTCTGTCTGTCTGTCTGTCTGTCTGTGTGTATGTCTGTTACTCGTCATCTCACTTCTCGAGTGTTCGTTCGTCTCACAAAGGATACCACCTACTGAACGGGCAATGAAGGTCAGAAAATATGTGTGGTTTTCGCTGAAAACGCTCCGTTGCAAAGCTAGAGCGCGAAAAAGCCAATATGCAAATACACAACGGCTTACTACGGCATGATCGATCCGCGTGCTCTGCGTACCTCGGAGGCACCAGAAGATGCAACGCAAGGCGTGTATCGCCTCTCGCATGCTATCTAGTAGTGTAGTTAGCCCGCGTCAGACTCTGCGTGAGCTGGCAAGAGACCATGGGTAACAGCTAAAACTAAACCCAGCCCAGCAATTAGTAGTACGGCGCATGCGTTTACTTACGCGTGCGCGTCACAGTACGCCGAGGGTTTGCACTTCAGTGCTTTTCATTATTGTAAGCACATGTCTCGATGTCTGGTGCAGGTCGAGTGACGCAGAGCTCTCCATTCAGCCAACTCTCCTCTCACTACTTCCTTCATCAGGCCACACCCACTCAGCTGTTACCAATAGCAACCAATCAGTGGTTGATTAGGGACAAATTGGGTGGGGTTCACCTCACTTCTGTGAATGCAGCGTCCGCCATGAAAGACCCACTGCCTTTGGTTAGACGGCATTCTGTTTCTGCGACTTATTCTCACTGTTTGTTACTTTGACCAATCAGAATCTTCCTCCAGTCACTGCCATGGCAACTGGGCAGTGCAGCAGTCGCACTGGTGTTGTCGTGGTTGCCTGGCAACAGCAGCGTCTGATCCCAGTTCTGTTACGTAAGGATGTGTCTGGTCTCAAAACCATTCTCTCCTCAACGTCGAAAGGTTGGCCTACACTTCTTCTCTAACTGAACAGTGGGAAACTTTAGGAGTAGAAAATTATCTGGATTTTTTTTCCTTACAGATGATATGCAGTCACTCCTATTAGAGCACACCTCTGGCGGATGCAATATTCTCCACGTTCTCTCCCTCCTCGGACGACCCCCGACCCCATCTCGTTCCTCCTCTGCCTTCACCTCGGGCGCAGTCGGGGAAAGAAGGCGTGGCATGGCGGCGCGGACCACACCCCGCAGCGGAGTTCTCCGAGAGATCATGAAACAGGCCATGGCTCTTGCTTCAAGCTCTGTCTCCTCTCATAGCCTCGGTGGGCTCTATTTAGAGTCATTTATGTCACACTTCAGTACATACAGTATTGTCTGCAGACTCATCGGAAGCAGGTCCATGGGGTAGCGATGAAGGAGAGAGTGACTCTTCCTCCCCTCCTCCTCCACCCCTCTCCTCCTCCATGTCCGCCCCCTCCGTGGTCTCCCTGTGTCTTGGACAGCTGGGGTTGGTCCTCACCGAACCCCCCTCCCCCCTCTCCTCACTCCTCACTGAGAGAAACGTAGAGGGATACACACCCTTCATGGCAGCTGTCTCCTACAAGGTGGATCCACCACTTTATCCTCAATTATGCCTCATAAAGTCATTCCAGTGTATTCCTCTCTCGGCAGGCGTACCAGGTGGCGATGCAGCTGCTGGACCTTGCCCTCTCCATCGCCGACGGAGATCAGAACAAACTGATGGCTGCTCTGTATCCTAGCGACTGTCACCCTGACGACAACCCCATCTTTGTGCTCTGTCGCAACGACAACTGTTCGTTCACCTGGACTGGAGAGATGCACATTCACCAGGTATAGTGCATACATACATACATACTAACTGTACAAAGAGATTCACTAACACTATAACCAACTTATGTACATACAGATTACTCTACTTTTGTAATACTTGTAAAATTGTAAATTTTTGTTTCGTACTGTGACTTCTGAAAATGTGCTTCTGTAAAATTGTTTCATAAGGTGAAGCTCCTTTAAAGTTGTTTGTTCTAATTAAGTGAAGTGTTTCGATATTCTCCACCCTCCATATGTGCGTAGGACATCTTTGTGTGTCGCAGCTGTGGACTGACGGATTCCCTATGTTGCTGCACGGAATGTGCTTATACCTGTCACCGTGGTCACGACTGTGTCTTCAAGAAGGCGAGTCCCACGGCCTACTGTGACTGCTGGGAGAGATGCAACTGCCGGTGCCTCGCTCAGACCCCAGACTCCACCAGACTGGCTTTGCTCCAGAAACTCATGAGCAACACCACCCTGGCTAACAAGGTCGGTACTTTATGCGCAGGATAAATGAGAAAAACGTTTGAATGCGCAGAAAAAAACGTCCAAATGGAGTTTACGACTGGCACACACAGACTACGTTTGAAATTTTGGATTCTATCCTGGTGACGTGGCAAAGCGGCAAGGCGTGACATACATATTTGTGAACTCAGCCATGATCTTCTCTCTCCCTGTCTCTCTCCTCCAAAGTTTGATGGGTCTCACCAGAGTCTGTTGGCAGCGCTACTGACGATGGCGTCACATCAGTCCAGGGCCCAGAGTCACTGGTCCATGATCCGGTCCTCATCCCTCCATTCCCGTTCCAGACACGAAGACATGCCGGTTTACAATCTCAGGCCTCCAAAGTTTGCCCCCAAAGCCCTCGCAGCTGTTGTGGAGGTGTGCCCACCCACCCCCCGGGGCCCTCCCTCGTCTGTTTTAAATATTGCCCTTATGTATGTTGGGAGGGCCATAAAAAATTTCCGATTTTTTAAAGTGAACGAATACACTTCCAAACTATCTAAGCTGAAAGAGCTTTACCTTATGTCGCCTTATGTCAGGTTCATATTTTCATGCCTGACACCAAACGTCATTCTCTCTCATCCCCTGCTGTGTAGGACTGGCAGTGTGTCAAGTCCGCTGTACTGTGTACCTCTGTGGGCGGAGCTTCATCCATTGACCACACCCACCACCTCGGCAGTGTCCCAGTCGACTCAATGGTCTACTTGCTACTGGCAAAACAGGCTGGACAAGGGGTGAGCTATTGTTGATTGTACAAGTTGATTCATTTTCATCATAATTATGTGGTGAAACCTGTGAATGAGGTGCACCTTCTTTTCATCAAAAGTGTCCTCAATTCAGAGGTGTCCCTTTTTTTCGTAGTATGGGGCAAAACTGTGGTGGCCTTTATCTACAGTGTTGGGAGGGTCCTTTTCAGATCTGTACATACGTAGAACCGATTTCACATTACTCTCTCTCTCTCTCTGCACAGACCCTCAGCAGTATTCTGTCAACGATAGTGAAACATATCACAAGAGGAAGCCCGCAGGAGAGGGCGGAGGCAGTGGGCGTGGCCTCATGTTTCCTGCGCTCCGTGGTTCGTGTGTGGAGTGTCTGTGAGTTGGAGAGCTCAAACATTCCCTCCCCAGTTCCTTCCTCCCGCCCTCGACCAAGGTATATACTCTGCATAAAGATTTGCGTCTGTCTCATCTGCTTCCTTTAGTTTTACTTCAACTGAAATTTTTTACTCTTTAGCAGTGTCCCTACAAAATTCTTGAACTTTTCAAGGAAAGTTGTTTTCAGACCAGCATGGTGTAAAGAAAGTTGTATTTTTATACAATTGTCCATGCGTATGAGGCCATCTATTTCTCTTATGTAACCTCCGTGCAGTGTGTCCAAATCAGGTGTGGGTGAGCGAGCATTCTTCATTTTCTCATCTCTGGCACTGCATGCAGTCCCTGCTCTCCTGGAGACAGCTCTTCAAGTCATCACCCCGGTAACGAGGGGTATGGCCCGCCCAATTGACCCTCTCTCCATGACGGATCGTCACAAGGTCAGTTTCCACACTATCCCAGGGGGTTCAGTTTTGAGGCCCCCCCTTTCTCGGGGGTTAGGGGGTCTGAAAAGAAGAGCGGGGGAGGTGTAATGAAGAATGTGAACTGTTTGAGCGATATAGTGATAAAATTAACGTGCGCTCCGTATTTAATGTGTTATTTTCAGTATATACCTCTGTTTTCTGCCACATGTGTATATATGACAGGTTGCCGAGGAGATGTTCCGTTTGCCCCCTGTCTCTCTTCTGAGAGAACAACCAATGGAACTGTCAGAGCAAGGTGAGGTCAGATGACTCATTGGTGGTGATGTAATGATGATGTCACAGGGGGAGAGGGTGTGAGTGGTGATGAAAGTGAGGCTGGTGACGGGGAGGAGAGTGTGGCTGGAGTGGGAGGTCAGGACGCCAGCTCTACGGCAACCATTGGCTCCAATCTTCTCTACCTCTCTGATGAACAGGTAGCCTTGTCTTTAGAAGTAGTGAAGTTATATTCCCAGCTCAGCAGTGGGGATAATCTTACTGTTTTGCACTTTTCGTTACCCATCATCTGGTTGTCTCCTGCACAGGACTCAACTGACAACGATGACGTGGAGTCAGATGCCTCGCTACCCGCTGAACATTACCATGACGACGAGGACGTGGTTCTGGAGCCTCCGTCCCAGCGACTGCGGCTGCTTGGAAGACGAGGAGGGCACTGGGCCCTCCCCTCGGCCCCGCCCACTTCGACCACACCCTCTTCCTCCACATCTCGGTTCTCGCGCTCTTCCAGAAGGTCTGGATAATGCTGTATATGTGAAAAACCAAGCAGTTACTTTATCTCTCTCTCCCTTGCAGAGCTGGGCGAAGTGTTGGGACCTCTGCCTCTCTCCTTGCACAGACCTTCTCTCTCATCATTAGGCAGATTGCTGTTGTCCTGGAGACAACCTTTGACATCCGAGAGCTCCCCGTGCCTTCTTTCCAGCTCTCGGTATCCCATGGCGACTCAGATATGCTGACGTTGCAGGTGTGGGCCAGACTGGAGCCGGTGTTGGTGTGGCTTGCTACGAACATGGACTCCGTGGAGGTACTAGTGAGAAGAGGAAACAACATCTCAGAGCGGGCTCCATTTAGAAGTGAGTTTTCAGAGTGGGCTCCATTTAGAAGTGAGTTTTCAGAGCGGAATCCATTTAGAAGTGAGTTTTCAGTGGGGTGGCCTCCATTTGGAAGTGGGTCTTCAGGGCGGGCTCCATTTGGAAGTGAATCTTCAGGGCGGGCTCCATTTAGAACTAAGTCCTCAGGGCAGGCTCCATTTGGAAGTGCGTCTTCAGGGTGGGCTCCATTTAGAACTGAGTCCTCAGGGTGGGCTCCATTTGGAAGTGGGTCTTCAATTGGGGTAGAATAATGTTTGTAATTGGGGTAAGAGGAATGTGGTAAAAATGTTTGTAATTGGGGTAAGGGGAATGTGGTAATTGGGATAAGGGATAAGGGGAATGTGGTAATTGGGGTAGAACAATGTTTGTAATTGGGGAAAGGGGAATGTGGTAAAAATAATGTTTGTAGTTGGGGTAAGGGGAATGTGGTAAAAATATTTGTAACTGGGATAAGGGGAATGTGGTAATTGGGGTAAGAGGAATGTGGTAATTGGGGTAGATAATTGGGGTGAAAATAATGATTGTAATTGGGGTAGGGTAGAATAATTGGGGTAGAATATTGTTTGTAATTGGGCATCACCCCCGTCGCACTTCGTCCAACATGGAGCTGAAATTGCTGGTCCTTTTTCTGGCGTTCGTTGATGGTCAACTCGTAGTAGACCACGTTACCTTGCCATATGTTGACCGACGTCATGCTACCGAGCTTGGTTGTTACGGAGCAGTTGTTGATCTTTTCAAAGACAGCTGCTCCATTCACTGGTAGGAGTTGCAGGATGTCTCCCACAAACAGAACGTTCACCCCGCCAATAATTGGGGTAAGAGGAATGTGGTTATTGGGGTAAGGGGAATGGTAATGGGGGTAAAATGTTTGTAATTGGGGTAAGAGGAATGTGGTAATTGGGGTAAAAATAATGATTGTAATTGGGGTGAGTTAGAATAATTGGGGTAGAATAATGTTTGTAATTGGGGTAAGACGAATGTGGTAATGGGGTAAGGGGAATGTGATAATTGGGGTAAAAATGTTTGTAATTGGGGAAAAAAAGTTTTGTAATTGGGGTAAGTTAGAATAAATATAGGTTATACTGCGCGTCAATGGAAATACGCGATTTAGACGGCACGAGGGGCCCTGAGCTGTAGCTGTCTGAGCGAAGCGAAGACGCTACTAAGGGCTCCGAGGCCGTCTAAATCGTGTATTTCCATTGACAAGCAGTATAACCTGTTTAGACGGAGGCCGTGCCGGCCTTCAAAATCGTCCAGGTCCGCCGTTTTCCGAAAGACTCGCTCTTGCCGGGGGAAGCTAAAAAGGTCTTCAGTTTAGTTTCTTTTTGCATCGTAGAGAGGCCTTTCATCGAAGAAGCATCGGATATAGCGAGTTTGAAGTCGTCGCGGCGAGCTCTCAGCGACAGAGCGAGTTTCTTTGCGCGGAAGCTTGCCACACCCCCATCGAAGACGCCATTTTTTGGCGGGCGTCTCCATGGAAACACACACTTGGAAAATACGGGATTTAGAATCCACGTTTTACGTAATCTGATTGGTCAATTTGAATCTACCATGGGGAATGTTGGGGTAATTGGGTAAAAATAATGATCGTGAGAGGAATGTGGTAATTGGGGTAAGGGGAATGTGGTAGTTGGGGTAGATAATGTTGGGGTAATTGGGGTAAGGTAGAATAATTGGGGTAAAATGTTTGTAATTGGGCATCGATACTTGGGATAAAAATAATGATTGTAATTGGGGTAAAGTAGAATAATTGGGGTAGAATGTTTCTAATTGGGGTAAGAGGAATGTGGTAATTGGGGTAGATAATGTTGGGGTAATTGGGTAAAAATAATGATCGTGAGAGGAATGTGGTAGTTGGGGTAGATAATGTTGGGGTAAGAGGAATGTGGTAATTGGGGTAAAAATGATTGTAATTGGGATAAGGTAGAATAATTGGGGTAGAATAATGTTTGTAATTGGGCATCGATACTTGGGGTAAAAATAATGATTGTAATTGGGGTAAGGTAGAATAATTGGGTAAGAGGAATGTAGTAATTGGGGTACATAATGTTGGGGTAAGGGGAATGTGGTAATTGGGGTTAGAATAATTGGGGTAAAATATTTGTAATTGGGGTAAGAGTAATGTGGTAATTGGGGTATGGGAAATGTGGTATTTGGGGTATATACTGTTGGGGTAAGAGGAATGTGGTAATTGGGGTAAAATGATTGTAATTGGTGTAAGGTAGAATAATTGGGGTAGAATGTTTGTAATTGGGCATCGATACTTACTTGGGGTAAAAATGATTGTAATTGGGGTAAGGCAGAATAATTGGGGTAGAATGTTTGTAATTGGGGTAAAGAGGAATGTGGTAATTGGGGTAGATAATGTTGGGGTAATTGGGTAAAAATAATGATCGTGAGAGGAATGTGGTAATTGGGGTAAGGGAATGTGGTAGTTGGGTAGATAATTTTGGGGTAAGAGGAATGTGGTAATTGGGGTAAAAATGATTGGGGTAAAATATTTGAAATTGGGGTAAGAGTAATGTGGTAATTGGGGTACATAATGTTGGGGTAAGGGGAATGTGGTAATTGGGGTTAAAATAATTGGGGTAAAATATTTGTAATTGGGGTAAGACTAATGTGGTAATTGGGGTATGGGGAATGTGGTATTTGGGGTATATACTGTTGGGGTAAGGGGAATGTGGTAATTGGGGTATATAATGTCGGGGTAAGAGGAATGTGGTAATTGGGGTAATGGGTAACGTAGAATAATTGGGGTAGAATGTTTGTAATTGGGCATCGATACTTGGGGTAGAAATGATTGTAATTGGGGTAAGGTAGAATAATTGGGGTATCTAATGTTGGGATAAGGGAATGTGGTAATTGGGGTATATAATTGGGGTGAAAATAATGTTTGTAATTGGGATTTGCCACACCCCCATCGAAGACGCCATTTTTTGGCGGGCGTCTCTATTGAAACACGAACTTGGAAAATACGGGATTTAGAATCCACGTTTTACGCAATCTGATTGGTCAATTTGAATCTTCCGATGTCTAATGTTTGTAATTGGGATAAGGGGAATGTGGTAATTGCGGTAAAAATAATGATCGTGGGAGGAATGTGGTAATTGGGGTAAGGGGAATGTTGTAGTTGGGGTAGATAATGTTGGGGTAATTGGGGTAAGAGGAATGTGGTAATTGGGGTAAGGTAGAATAATTGGGGTAGAATGTTTGTAATTGGGCATCGATACTTGGGGTAAAAATGATTGTAATTGGGGTAAGGCAGAATAATTGGGGTAGAATGTTTGTAATTGGGGTAGATAATGTTGGGGTAATTGGGTAAAAATAATGATCGTGAGAGGAATGTGGTAATTGGGGTAAGGGAAAGTGGTAATTGGGGTAAAAATGATTGTAATTGGGGTAATGTAGAATAATTGGGGTAGAATAATGTTTGTAACTGGGCATCGATACTTGGGGTAAAAATAATGATTGTAATTGGGGTAAGGTAGAATAATTGGGGTAGATAATGTTGGGGGAATTGGGGTAAAAATAATGCTTGTAATTGGGGTAAGTAGAATAATTGGGTAAGAGGAATGTAGTAATTGGGGTAACCCCGTATTTTCCAAGTGCGTGTTTCCATGGAGACGCCCGCCAAAAAATGGGTCTTCGATGGGGGTGTGGCAAGCTTCCGCGCAAAGAAACTCGCTCTCGACGTCTGAGAGCTCGCCGCGACGACTTCAAACTCGCTATATCCGATGCTTCTTGGATGAAAGGCCTCTCTACGATGCAAAAAGAAACTAAACTGAAGACCTTTTTAGCTTCCCCCGGCAAGAGCGAGTCTTTCGGAAAACGGCGGACCTGGACGATTTTGAAGGCCGGCACGGCCTCCGTCTAAACAGGTTGTCAATGGAAATACACGATTTAGACGGCCTCGGAGCCCTTAGTAGCGTCTTCGCTTCGCTCAGACAGCTACAGCTCAGGGCCCCTCGTGCCGTCTAAATCGCGTATTTCCATTGACGCGCAGTATAACATATATATACTGTTTGGGTAAGGGGAATGTGGTAATTGGGGTAAAAATATTTGTGATTGGGGTAAGAGGAATGTGTGAATTGGGGTATGGGCAATGTGGTAATTGGGGTATATACTGTTGGGGTAAGGGGAATGTGGTAATTGGGGTATATAATGTCAGGGGTAAGAGGAATGTGGTAATTGGGGTAAGGTAGAATAATTGGGGTAGAATGTTTGTGATACTTGGGGTAAAAATGATTGTAATTGGGGTAAGGTTGAATAATTGGGGTATATAATGTTGGGGTATGGGGAATGTGGTAATTGGGATATATAATGTTGGGGTAAGAGGAATGTGGTAATTATTGGGGTAAGGTAGAATAATTAGGGTAGAATGTTTGTAATTGGGGTAAGAGGAATGTGGTAATTGGGGTAGATAATGTTGGGGTAAGAGGAATGTGGTAATTGGGGTAAGGTAGAATAATGATTGTAATTGGGGTAAGAGGAATGTGGTAATTGGGGTGAAACTAATGTTGGTAAAAGGAATGTGGTAATTGGGATAAGAGGAATGTGGTAATTGGGGTAGAATAATGTTTGTAATTGGGGTAAAACTAAGGTGGTAATTACAGGGCGGGCTCCATTTAGAACTGACTCCTCAGGGCTGGCTCCATTTAGAACTGACTCCTCAGGGCGGGCTCCATTTAGATTTGATCCTCGGGGCGGGCTCCATTTAGAACTGCGTCCTCAGGGCGTGCTCCATTTAGAACCGAGGCCTCACAGTGGGCTCCATTTAGAACTGAATCCTCATGGCGGGCTCCATTTAGAGATGAGTCTTCAGGATGGGCTCCATTTAGAAGTTAGTTTAGAGTGGGCTCCAATTGGAGTTTTGCATGTGGATGTGTAACTTATTAACTGCCTTCACAGTCTAAACAGTGGGTTGTTGCATGTGCTGAGCAGTTTAAGGCCTAAAGCATTGTGTTCAAAATATTTTGTTGCCAAACATCTCCTGAATAGTGATCCGTATGTCAGGTCTATAGACATTCTCTCCTCAGGCCACGGGAGAGGAAAGGCAGGAGAGGGAGGGGCTGGCAGTGATGCACTTGAGGGCAGAAGGGAGACCTTCTCCTATCTCCTGACGATACTGCGAGAGGCAGGGCCCGAGACCTCTGGCCTCATTCCTGCTATTGACGTGGCTGGAATGGAGCACCTGGCATGGACCTTGGACGCTCTTCACTACCTCCTAGAGGTGTAGCTCCATTCTCTCTCTCTCTCTCTCTTTCTGTCTCGTAAAACCTTTGAGTGAGGGACGACACTTGAAAGTGTCCTTTACTAAGAGATTTTTCTGATTAGTATGTGGCAAGGTGTCCTTTATTCTGAGATTTCACTGTCGTCACTCATCTTCCACAGACAACTAGACCGTCATGTGAAGCCACACCCACCTCAAAGGATGGAGTTGCTCGTACTTCTCTCTTCTTCCGGAGGTCAAGGTCCACCTCGTGTCTTGGATCTCTCCCTGCCTCGCCCTTTGACCCTCTCCATGAAGCCCTACCACTTGCCGAGAAGCCACACCTCCTTGACGCCTCGTACAACAAGCAGCACTTGTTTGGCTTTGACAAGTCATCGGTTCTGGAGGTGTGGCCGTCATGTGACCTCCAAGCCCCGCCAATTCTCTCCCTCATCTCGCATCCCCTTCCCCGAGGTCAAGGCTCAACAGCTCCCAGGAAACAAACAGGTATGAACTCCTCTCTATGGTCATGTGAGATCATGTGATGTCATGTGACCTCAGACCCCGCCCACCTGAGGGGTTGTCGTGTGGTAGGTGTCAATAGTCATGAACTGGCAGCCTCTGTGCTCCTCGGTCGCTGGGCAACCACTGTCGACCTGTTTGGACGAGTGAGTGTGTTTCAGACAACTATTACATCATTCTTACATTCATTTTGTGTCTATTTAATGTGCACTTGTGATGACAGGTGTTTGGGGAGACGGTGGGAAGACTGCCGGACTCATTCCTGGCCCAGGAGAGAGGGTTCAAATCTCGGGAAAGAGAGTTCCGTAGAGACATGGACACTCTACACAGCTCCACCCACAACGAGCTCTCCCTACAGGTGGGTCCATATTCCATTCCTTTCATTACCTGGTCTCTATTCCATTCCTTGCTCTGTGTTCCATTCCAGGTGGAGCGGCCTCGGGACAAGCTTTTGCTAGGGGTACTGCAGCAGTTACAGGCAATGTGTGATAGTAGGCATTCCTCCAGTCCCTCCACCAGCCTCCCCCCTCTCTGTGTCTACAGGTTCAAGGTGAGGGTCTGGTAATGATATTCACGACCCAGTGAAGCCAGCCGTCTTGCCCTCAGGTGGTGTTTGAGAAGGAGCCGGGGGAAGGCTCTGGAGTCCTGCGCTCCCTCTTCACCGCCTTCGCTGATGCAGTGCTGTCAGAGGAACCTCTCCCTCGACTGGAGACACTCGCACAGCCGCTGAAGAGCTGTAAGTCTTCTCTCCTCATCCCCTCACTCCTCACCCCCTCACCCGTCACTACTCACTCCTCACACCTCACACCCAGTGAGCTACTCAGGTGCTGGGTTCAAAGGGAAATCATCCAGGGACAGGTCTAAAGGTCCTCGTTCCCTTCCTCATCCTCTTCAGGTGACTTAGAAGATCACATCTGGTTTCCCATGTTGAGATATCCCAGGAAATCTCCTGTTTTGTGTGTAATGCTTTCTCTTTCTTCTCTCTCTCTCCCCCAGCCGTCTGTCATCAAGCAGGCAGGGAAAGTATCTGCCAGTCCACCAGAGGTGGAGCCTGCTCTCTTCTACCAGCCCGGGAAGGCGGGGTTTTACTCCCTGGTCCAGGCCACGCCCACTCCGGAGAGACTGCAGGCATTCAGAGGAGTTGGTCGTATGATCGGACTTGGCCTTCTCCTCTCGGAGGTCTTCCCTGTTCCTCTCTGTCGCCATGTCCTCAAGTTTATCATGATGAGAGAGGTACACTACACTCTCTTCAGTTTGACACAAAACTTTTTAGCGTAAGATTAATGTTTCCCTGCAGGTTGCGTGGCATGACCTGGCTTTCTTTGACCCGGCAATGTACGAGAGTCTGAGGAAGCTGATAGTTGAATCAGAGGGTGATGGAGGCAGAGACAGACTTGCCAACATGGGCCTCACCTTCCAGGTAAACCTTACCTCCCCACCTGAGAACACCAGGGAGGGTAATAAACTATCTACTATAACTTCTTTTTAGTGAGCGTACTGTACCACTTCAATATTTCGTGAATTCTAGTTTTAGAATCACGTAGAACATAAAGTGCCTTTCGGTCGTATTATCCTGTGATAAGAGTAGGCAGCTCACTTGACTTGCAGATAAAGGGGACGTTGCTGAAGTGGTATATTATTAACCCTCGGCGCGCATGCGCAGCGAGGGTTACTGCGCGAGCTGGCAAGAGACCGCGAGTAACAGCTAAAACTAAACCCTGCCCATCAATTAGTGGTACGGCGCATGCGTTTACTTACGCGTGCGCGTCACAGTGCGCCGAGGGTTTGCACTTCAGTGCTTTTCATTCCTGTCATGAATTAGCTGCAGTAAGGGAGGAACCGTTTGTCACACAGGTGTCTCTGAGTGGAGAGGAAGGAGGAGGAGAGCCATGTGAACTGGTACCAGGAGGAGCCAGCCAGCCCGTAACCCCCGACAACGTCTACCAGTACGTCAAGTTGTATGCAGAGCTGAGGATGGTGGGAGTGTGCCAAGAAGCCTTAGTGGTAAGGGAAATTACACCCACTCAATGGAGGCCATGCAAACAAGTGATTTTAAAATTTAAGCCACGAAAAAAAAAATTTCATGATGCATGTTGCATTGCCTATCATATCCGATATTGAAGTTGCATAATATTATGAGGCAGTTGTCGTGAGTATCTGTCATACACAGAGCCTGAGGAGCGGAGTGTATGATGTAATCCCAGAGGGAGCCCTGGGACCTCTGTCCCCGGAGGACCTGCGACTGATCCTGTGTGGCTGCCACAGCATAGACACAGACAGACTCAGAGTTATCACCGTCTTTGAGGACGAGAGCAGTGAGTGATAGCTCTGAATATGGGACACCTCGGGCACCATAGAAGATTCCTGTATTCAGGCAATAATACACTAATGCATTAGTATGAGGTATATATCCTGAGAAAGTTCATGTAATGAGTATTAGTATGGGGAAGAACTGAGTGCCTCATCCAGAGGGTCCTTTTTCAGAGGTATTCACTCATCTTGTCTGACAGAGAAAGAGGAAGAGGTGCTGGCAAAGTTCAAGGGCTGGTTCTGGTCGGTCGTGGAGAGGCTGAGTGTGAGAGAGAGACAAGAACTCCTCTATTTCTGGACCAGTAGCCCAGCTCTACCGGCCAACACAGAGTCCTACCAGCCTTCCCCAAGTATTACGATCAGACCTCCGGATGACGCCAGACTCCCGACCGCCAACACCTGTATCTCTCGTCTCTACATCCCTCTGTATTCGAGTCGCTCCCTGCTCAGCACACGCCTCCTCACTGCACTCAAGACCAAGACCTTTGGATTTGTTTAGCTGCACCCACGGGGTGTGCTCTAATTGGACCTCTCACACAGGCAGCAGCAGACACATTCATTTATCACTTCACGTGCTGCTTTGCTAATGTAATCATTTTGTCGTGGAAGTTTCTATGAAATAAGGTACTCGCAAAGATTTGAACTTTTGATGGTAGTGTATATACCTCAGCACATGATTTATAAATAAATTATTGATGAGGAGGGTATTATAATATTGGGTCCCATTCAAGGGTCTGGTACTGCACCACACCTTTCTCTACTGAACAGAGGAGTAGCGCCTTCACAACCTTTGACCCTACTCGACACAGACTTGTCAGTGTTGCAATAGGCTGTTTCCATGGCAACACCAGAGCTAGGAAGCAGGAGTGAACGAGGGCGGGGTCTCCCTGGTAAACGAGGTAATCTGCACCATACTTGAGTCCCGATGTTAGAGTGAATCCATTCTCCCACAAGTCTCCGAAGACAGCTGCTCGGGTTTCCTGTTCTCGTGTGATGACATCATCAGGAGGTGTTTCCTGCTCCAATTCCAGTACACCTGGAATGGAATGTGGATGGCTGTGGTATGGAACAGAAACAGAGTCCTACCTTTCTCCAAGAGGTGAGAGAGCTCCTCAGGAGAGAGGTGGAGAGGCAGACCGAGCTGCCCACTCTGCCGAGGCTGCACTGGCAGTGCTCCCACCAGGCCACCCACCACTCGCCACTCCACTCGCAGTCTGTACACATCTGAACAAACACCCATTTCACCTGCTGAAATATGTACTGGTCTCTGAGACCATTTACCCTCTGCTCTCCACACAAGAGCTCCACACACACCTCCCTGTGCAACAGCTTGTATCTTCCCCTTAGACATTATCGGCTACGCATGCGCATAACGAGCGCATGCGCATAAAAATCAAGAGTTTGGCGGGAATTTGCCGCGTAAGGGTGGAAAAGGCCAGAACCAGACGGTTTGTCTGCAATGGATGCGGAGCAGGACTTGCGAGAGCACCAGCGACAGTACCTAGACTTCCTTGACGACAGCGTAAGAGAGAAATTTCTGCTAGCCCGTTTCTTCTGCTTCATATAAACGTCTTGCGTGTTTGTGTGGTTGCAGGAAGATCAGGGTCTCTACAATGAGAAGGTTAGGGACATGATCCGTTCCCATAGCAACCGTCTCCTGGTCAACATCAACGACCTCCGGAGGAAGAACGGGAGAAGAGCCATGCGGTAAGCCACGCCCACTGACCACGCCCCCGTGTACGCCTCTCTTTCCCCAGACTGCTGAACGAAGCTAACATTGAGTTGCTGGCATTCCAGAGAGCTCTAAAAGAATGCGTTCTCACTGTAGACGATGCTTACGGGAAACAATTTGAGGAGTTCCACGTTGGATTTGAGGGGAGGTGTGTGTGATTCAAAGCCTTACCATCGACGCAAATGTTTTTTTACTGTTGCAGCTTTGGTTCCAAACATGTGACTCCGCGTTCTCTGTCGGCTGATCTGCTCGGCTGTCTGGTGTGTGTGGAGGGAATTATCACTAAAAGCAAGTCCAATTATCTTTCCTCTGTGATTGTTTTCTACCCCTGTAATAATATACTCTCCATCTTCTGTTGCTCACAGGCTCTCAGGTGAGGCCAAAGGTGGTGAAAAGTGTCCATTACTGTCCTGCCACGGGGAAGACAATGGAGAGGAAATACACAGACCTCACCTCCCTGGAACCTTTCCCTACCTCTGCCGTCTACCCCACCAAGGTCAGAGGTCAGGCCACACCCCCTCATAACCTGTCAAACCAGTGCCCAACAGGACGAGGACGGGAATTCTCTGGAGACGGAGTACGGGTTGTCGGTGTACCGAGACCACCAGACCCTCAGTATCCAGGAGACTCCAGAGAGAGCTCCAGCCGGGCAGTTGCCACGGGTACTGGACGTTATTCTTGACGGCGATCTCGTTGACAGTTGCAAGGTTCGTTACTATATTAAGAACAAGCTTCTATTTTGGTCGCTGATAAATTGTGACTGGTGTACTATTCTATGTGTATTCTAGCCAGGTGATCGGGTTCATGTAGTTGGAACCTACCGCTGTTTACCTGGGAAGAAAGGAGGCTACACTTCCGGAACATTCCGCACCGTTCTCCTGGCCTGTAGCGTCATACAACAGAACAAGGAGGCCGCACCCCTTTTCTCTCGGAGAGATGTCGCCAAGATCAAGAAGTTTAGGTAAATTCTGTCTCTCCTTTCTCTTTCTCTCACACTCTATCTTATATACTCTCTCTCTCTCTCTTCATGCCAGCAAGAACAATAGATTTGATCCATTCGAGATGTTGGCTCACTCTCTTGCTCCCTCAATTCATGGCCACACCCACATCAAGAAGGCAGTACTGGCAATGTTGCTGGGCGGAGTCGAGAAGATTCTGGAGAACGGCACTCGTCTCAGAGGGTGAGAAAATTGTGGGCGGAGCCTAACATGATTACCAGTGTACAATGTGTCCTAGTGGTTTGGTTCAAGGTCTTTGGTTGGATTTTCTTATAACCCTTTTTTCCCTGTGGTCAGTATTGTATATATTGTGGGTTGGTTGTACATGAGGCATGGTAATGATGATGATGTCATTCATTTCACACTAACATCATGTAGGGACATCAATATTCTACTGGTTGGAGACCCCTCAACTGCCAAGTCTCAGATGCTGCGCTACGTTCTGCACTCTGCGCCTCGTGCTGTCACGACGACCGGCCGAGGAACCTCGGGGGTGGGGCTTACCGCTGCCGTGACGACCGACATGGAAACAGGGGACAGACAGCTGGAGGCTGGGGCAATGGTCCTTGCCGACAGGGGCGTGGTCTGTATTGACGAGTTTGATAAGGTTTGAGTAGTCGGCAGTTTGACAATTGCTCATGTGACATCATGTGATCCTCCAGATGAGTGACCTGGACCGCACAGCTATCCACGAGGTAATGGAGCAAGGAAGAGTTACCATAGCAAAAGCCGGGATCCACGCCAAACTAAACGCCAGGTGCAGTGTCCTCGCTGCAGCCAACCCAGTGTATGGGAGGGTGAGTCTGGAATGGGAATGGGTGAATGGGAATGCGACTGTCTCCCTGGCCCCAGTATGATGATTACAAGGCTCCGATGGACAACATTGGGATGCAGGACTCACTGCTGTCTCGGTTTGACCTCATCTTTGTGGTGCTGGATGAGATGGATCCAGAACAGGATCGCCGGATCTCAGAACACGTCCTCCGCATGCACCGCTACAGGAACCCCGGGGAACAGGTATGGCAGTCTGGGCTCTGGGAACTGGTATAACGTGCAAGAAATCGCCCAAAGAGCGATAGTAATGGGTTCAGTGCTACACTGGCTTGATTTGGCAATTTTTTAAAATACTAGTGCGCCGAGGGTTTTCACTTGGCTGCCTGCTGCAGGATGGAGAGGTGTTGCTAATGGGTGGTGGAGGAGAGTGTCTAGCCACGGGGGACGGAGGCAAGGGAGGAGTGGACGATGAGGAGGAGGAAGAGGAGGAGGAAGAGGTTATGGTGTTTGATAAACACGATGCCCTCCTCCACGGAGACAGCAGAGCAGAGAAATTTGTGTCGAGCAAGTTTCTGAAGAAGTACATCCACGTGGCGCGGGCTCTGAAACCAGTGTTGACTCGAGAGGCGTGCGACCTCATCTCCACTGAGTATGCCAAACTCCGCGCACAGGAGACTGCCAACAGAGACACTGCCAAAGTGAGCTTCCATAGTTTGTTTGTTTATTGACGAAGAGATGTGGGAACGAGATAGAGTGAAAAATGAAACATGGGAATGAGAGATGATGATGGTTGATGTGGGAAAAGTTGAAAAGTGGAAGAGATATAATATAGTGGAAATTCACCTCTGGAGATATGTACATATCTCGCACGCTGTACCTAAACACTTATTTTTCTTGCCTTTTCCTTCATTATCACCCCTTCCGACAAGGGTTTGAACAGTTTTGCATTTGTTGTACGCACATGAGTAAACGAAACGACAAACCAACAATGCCTAACACTTTGACTATAGTTGGAGGTTGGAATAGCGATACTATCTAGCTGTACCTAAACACTTGCCTTTTCCTTACCACAACCCCTTCCGACAAGGGTTTGAACAGTTTTGCATTTGTTGTACGCACATGAGTAAACGAAACGACAAACCAACAATGCCTAACAGTTTGACTATAGTTGGAGGTTGGAATAGCGATACTATCTAGCTGTACCTAAACACTTATTTTTCTAGCAATTTACCAACAAGGGTTTGAACAGTTTCGCATTTGTTGTACGCACATGAGTAAACGAAACGACAAACCAACAATGCCTAACACTTTGACTATTGTTGGAGGTTGGAATAGCGATACTATCTAGCTGTACCTAAACACTTATTTTTCTAGCAATTTACCAACAAGGGTTTGAACAGTTTCGCATTTGTTGTACGCACATGAGTAAACGAAACGACAAACTAACAATGCTTAACACTTTGACTATTGATGGAGGCTGGAATAGCGATACTATCTCACTGTACCTAAACACTTATTTTTCTCGCCTATTCCTTCATTACCACCCCTTCCGACAAGGGTTTGAATGGATTTGCATTTGTTGTATGCACATGAGTAAACGAAACGACAAACCAACCATCCCTTATACTTTGACTATAGTTGGAGGGTGGAATAGCAACACTATAAAAGCTTTCACCTCTGTAAACCCACACTCTACCAAGTACCCTAATTGATGATTTCTGTGTTGGTTGCAGACGCAGCCAGTAACGGCTAGGACACTTGAGACACTGATTCGACTGTCCACAGCTCATGCCAAGGCCCGCATGAGCAAACATGTGGAGGAACAAGATGCTGAGTCAGCAATCAACCTTGTCAACTTTGCCTACTTCAAGAAAGTCGGTCCCTATTTTGGACATGTCATCAATCTTTGTTGACTTGTTTCATCCTGTGGTATATAGGTGGCTGTCAAACCGAGGAAGAAGAAGAAGGATAAGGAGAGAAAGAGACAGCGACCAGCTGGACTGCCACACCCACCCAAGAAGAGGCCTGGAGAAGATGGATACGACCCTTACGACTTTTCCAGCAGCGAGAGCGAGGGGGAGGAGTCAGCCCCACCCACTTCTCAGTCGCAGGATCAAGAGGTTCCCATGGATACGGGTCCAGTCCAGCTATCAGCCAAACGGTCATAATGCTTGTAATCTTTACATCATCAATTTGATTTGGCATTGTGTTTCAGGTTGACAATGTTCCGTTCCAAAGTGGGTGTGGCATTCTCTGGTGAGCACGCTCAGAGCCTACCCCTGGCCAGACTAGAGGCATTAGTCAATGCCGGTTTGCCATGATGACCCATTCTCCAGTGGGGAGGTGTCGGCAGGTCTGGTTGCCATGGAGGAAGCCAACCAAGTGATGGTGTCTGAGGGGGTTGTGTTTCTGATCTGACGACTTTGTTACAACATTATAGACAACTTCATTATGATGTTAACGTGAATGAAGTTTGCTATCTACTTGGATTCCATTTACATGTCACAGATTCATAAGCACAAATTAGTGCACATAGTAAATTTCGTCAGCGCGTATCCTATCCGTAAAATTACGGACAAATACTGCCGAGCCCAATCGCTTGGGGGAGGAGGCAGAGGAGGAGTTTAGCGCGGCGATGGCTGCTCCCAGACGTGTTCCTCCTCCTCGTTGGCTGGACTGTCCTAGGAAAGGAAAGTTGTTAGGAGGTAAGCGAGCGAGTACCAATTGTTGCAATCGGGCAATGGTTTACCTTAGGGAAGTTTCTTCCTTTCAAAACTCCGCTGAGTGGGAGCTTTATCGACATGCGGGAAGACTCACAATTTTCTCCTGGTATGCTGCTAGACGCAGTCAGCGGGCATGGCTTGACAATGGGCCTAGTGGTGGATTTAACAAAAACTGACAGGTGGATACCCTCATAATCGGTGTATATTTAGCTTCATGCCCGAACTCCAGGTTCTACGATAAGGCAGACCTAGTGTCCAGAGGTGTCGGCCACTATAAACTCAGATGTGAAGGGTTAGGTGTGATGCAATGCAGGGCTTTGTTGATGTACCGTTTATCATGCATGAAGGTTTGGTAGTGCTCCAACTATTCAGCAGACTGCAGAGTTTTGTCAGATGTGTGCTCACTTCTTCCGGCAACATCCTGACAATATCATTGGTGTGCTTACATCTCCCGTGTATTGTTTATTGTTTCCTCTTACAACAGGAGTCCACTGCACCCATGGCTACAATAGAACTGGTTTTCTAACGATAGCGTACCTGGTGGAGCAGGATGATTGGAGGTATGCCTGGTTGTGTATATACTCTGCCTGGTTGTGTATATACTCTGCCTACTCTACTCTGTGGTGCCCCTTTTTTCTCAGTGTAGAGGCTGCGATATCTGCATTCTCTAAAGTGAGTTGTTGCTAATGTTTAGGAGGTTTTAAATGGCATTCTCCACAGAGCCGACCTCCCGGCATTTACAAACAGCACTACCTGGAGGAACTTGTGTCTCGCTATAGTGGGAATATGGCGGAAGTGTCTATTCCAGGTACTTGGTTAAGGTAGTCTCAGAGATGGTTATTGTGTTGTGTGGACTTTCACAGAGCTGCCAGAGTGGTGCCTGTTGGAAGGCCAGGAATTAGGGGAGAGAGAGGGAGAGGAAGAGGAAGGTGGGCGGGACACCGGCTCAAGGAAGAGAAGGAGAGAGTTGCAGAAAGAAGTCAGTACCGCTTTCTTTACTACCTTTTACTGCCTCTCTCTGCAGAATGCAACGTTTGCTGTGTGTATGTCGGAAGTGTCGGTGGTGCAAGGACCAGCGAGGGAAGAGGTCCAACGTCGCTGTCAAGACATCCTAAACTGGGAGGGGTCAGCCTTACTAGCCTCTCTGTGGAGGTGTGTGACTGTGTCACATGCTGTATACAGGTCTGGATTCCCTGGCTCCCAGCCTGTGTCCATGGACAAGAAGAACCTTCAGCTGATTCGTGCAAAACCTTACCGTGTCAGTTGGAAAGCAGACGGTACAAGGTTAGGGTTCTCTCAGACTGCATCGATGATAATGATGACATGTTCTGTAGGTATATCATGTACATCAGGGGCAAAGGAGAGGTTTTCTTACTGGACCGCGACAATTCTGTGTTCTCCTGCCCTGTGCTCACGTTTCCATCCCGAGCTGAGAGAGGACACTTGGCTGACACCGTACTGGATGGGGTATGTGTACTTCTCACTCTCCCATGCTCCATCCCTCTCTGTCACAGGAGCTGGTTGAAGACAAGTTGCCCAACGGAGTTCGCCCACGCTACCTGGTCTATGACATAATGCAGCTGTCTGGACGACCTGATATCGCAAGGTGTGACCATGCCACTCGTCAGCGGTGTATTCAAGAGGAGATCATTGCCCCCAGAGACATTGCTGTTAGCCTTGCTTGCTGCACTGCCCTAATCCTAGCCCTGCCAGCTGCCACTCTCTCCTCAGGCCCAGCATGGCTCCCTTGACAAGCAAGCAGAGCCATTCAGTGTGCGACTCAAGCAGTTTTGGGATGTGAAGGACACACGTTGGGTATAGATTCATGGCTCTCCCCATGTTTATACTGTTGAAGTGTGCACTGGCAGGTTTTGGATAGGTTTGTGCCAAAGCTGACTCATGAAAATGATGGATTGGTGTTCAACCCTCTCCAAGATGTATGGCTCAGCTCTGTGCACTATTGCTTGTGGTACTACAGTGTACCCACAGCCTTACAAACCTGGACAAAGTCCATCAGTGCTCAAGTGGAAGCCTCCAAGTCTCAATACAGTAGACTTCAAACTGGCCATTGTTGAAGATGACAGGCCGGGGTATGCTCATTCTTTAGCACTGTGTCTACTGTCCAACTCACTGCCTGCTATATACAGAATGCTGAAAGAGAAAGTTGGTCAGCTGTGGGTTGGAGGATATCAAGTCCCATTTTCACAAATAGATCTCAAAGTTAGAGAAAGTGAAGTGGTAGTATTGGTGAGGCTTGAATGTGGAAACTTCTCTTTCAGCGCAACAAGGAAGCCCGTAACCATAATGGGCGTATAGTTGAGTGTTCCTGGAGCCCTCACGGTTGGACTTTCCTCAGACTGAGGGAAGACAAAAGTTTCCCCAACAGCTACACCACAGCAGCCAGTCAGTGTGCATATTCCAAGCTATCAGTAGTCACACTGCCTCACTGTATGTAGGTGTGTGTGCCAGTATAAAGGAGCCAGTGACACGTGACATTCTGCTGCGTGTGGTGGAGAATGAGCGATGGGTCCCGAGGCTACCTCCAACCAACACCACTCCTTCAGACACCCAGCAACTGATGCCTCCTCCTAAGAAGATGCCTCGCACTGAACCACAACCTTCATGAAGCTTTTACTGTTCTCCATGCATATCTCTCTCTCTCTCTGTCTTCATACACACCTGAACTTTGTAACAATATCATACATTCCTGCCTGTGTAGTGTGGTGGCAGTGGAATAGTGTTCGCAGGTAGTTACTTCTTTTGAGGGGCAATGATACCTTCCAACTGAGCCTGCAGCAGATGTAACATGCCACCCTCTACTATATTGTCATCTCCTCACATACACTTCACACGTACCTTCAGCTGCTGGTTAGTCTTCCTGAGGGCCTGGAGCTCCTCCTGGTGCTTCTTCTCTGACAACTGCCTCTTTTCTGCCTCTGTTTTCTCTATTGTGTCACACTTGTTACGTAATTCCATCACCTGCAGCAGGAAAGCACGGTGAATTATGCGAAATCTCTGTGACGTAATTCTGTACCTGATGCTCAAGATTTCTCTGCTCTTTTTCCAACTCCTCGATCTTCTGTTGGAGGTCCACTTTCCCCTGCTCTGCCAACAGAGCCTTCCGCATGCCAAAAGCGGTGCTGCTCTCATACAGGGTTTGATAGGCTGCAATTGTCATTCTGATCTCATCTCGAACTCTGTGTCCGTACAATAAGGCCATTAGTAGCGAACTTTCACAAATTGTAGTCAAAACCTTAGAAGAAGAATGCCTCTCTCTGCACAGTTTATAGTCACTTGTCTAATCACCTCATCTGAAGTGTTGGGATGTACAGATAGGTTAGAGTTATCACATAAATATTTTCTGACCAAAACATTGAGAATAGAGTTCTCTGCGAACTGGGCAGATGCCAGTTTCTCGAGCCTGTCTCTGCTGCAACAAAGTGTCCAGTTGCTCCTGTACAAACAATCATCTCAACCTCTCTCACAACACAGAGTGCTCACCTGTAGGTTGGTGACGTCTAGTCTGGTGGCTGGAGTACTGGACACTCTCTGCACCCAAAGCTGACCTTCTTCTGACCACTCTCGAGGAGGCAAGACACTGTCCAGGATTTCTTCCGTCTGCTGACTCTTCTGAGTCTCCGCTGGGCTCGACTTGGCCTTAGGAGGACTAGGCACCGGACCACCACCGCCCATCGCTGCTACCGTAGGTTGTTGCTTGGGGCGACCCTGCGGGGAAAAAACCATCAGAATTGAGTGAAGAGTCCGCATCGTCCTAGTTCCACCTTCTTTCTGTCAGTGTTCCTACTGATGAGCACGGGAGTGTCATACTTCACGAGCGATGCAGCTGCAGGAATCACGCTCATCTTCTTGTTACGCTGCAGTTTGTTTGTTGCTAAGCAACAGGGGTCAAAGATCATAAATGACAAAATGGAGGAGGTGTCGCGAGCAGGTGAGTGGGGACACTGGCGAAGAGCCAGCGCGAGCCTCCGCGAATGGCGGGCATCTGGAGAGAAGAAAACAGACCTTGTGTTAAAACTTGGACGTCGGCTGCTCAGGGAACATTCTTCCAGCCTCGCCAACGAGTGTGAGACTTTTTGTCTACGTGCCCACGTGTGGGTCACTTCCCTCATTGTCCAGTGTGGGACGTGTACGAGCAAGTGTGCGTGGCTGCATTGGACTGTGGAGATCTGGAGACGGCTGAGGTAAGACTGGTCAGGACATGGGAGCTGTTGTGTAGTCGTGTTCTGGCTCCTATATAGTCATGCCACTCGAAGCTCAAAAACCAGTTTCCTGGGAGTGTCAGAGTCCAGAAATTGAGAGGAATGATTCTAGAGGCCAGCGGAAAGTAAGAAATTTCTGTTTGTTTGATGTGTATCTCTCATTTGGCGTCAGGTACTCGGAAGCTCTCAAGTTCTATGAAGCAGCACTAGAGGCTGAGCCAACTAGCTCTGTACTGTGGAAAAGAAAAGTGGCAGTGTTCAAAGCCATGGGTGACGCTGCTAGTGCCATATCCGAGCTTAATGCCCTGCTCAGTGTGTAAGTCACTCCATAGAGAGCAGAGAAAACAGTTTTCAAGTGTTTGTGTGTGTGGAAAAGGTTCATGAGTGACCATGAGGCCTGGACTGAACTTGCTGATCTATACCTGGAGAAGAACAAGTTAGTCAGAATAGTGAGTGCAGTCTCTTGGATGGTCTTCTCTCTCTCTCGGTCCAGCTATGAGAAGGCCGCCTTCTGCCTGGAGGAGCTCCTCCTGGTCAACCCTCACTACCATCTTCACCACCAGAGATATGCAGAGGTGTGTTCCCAGATGGAGCACCCCTACCTCACTCTCTGTTCCTCTAGGTCTGCTACTCTCAGAAGACTGTGGAGAGTCTGGAAGTGGCTAGAAAACACTTTGCCATGGCAGCAAAACTGAACCCCAACAATATGAGAGCCTTGTATGGTTTCTACATGGTAAGACAGTGAGCGTGGTGCTAGGCAACCACTGTTTGTTCCCTGTGTAGGCCTCCCATTCTCTAAGTCACCATCCAAAGCTCAAGAGCAGAGACGCAAAGACTCAGAGCACCAGATATTGTGATTGGGCACGGGCTCAGATACGACACAAGTACATGCAGTTTGACACAGAGAAATTGCAAGTGGTGGAGAGAATGCTTGAGAAAACACAATGACATTCAGGAGTCCTTGTCTTTGTGTACTTCACTGACAGTGGTATCCATATTCCTCTGTAGAGCTTGCATCCATCTGCAAAATCAGAAATGTTAGTATCATATTGTTTGAATGAGGTGTTCTTGCATCACCTCTCCCTCTCTACGGCACTCTCACAGTAGAAGTGATATGTGCGCATGTTTTTGTCCTCAGGCGGAGCGTAAAAGTAAAACCTTTTTTCTGTAGTCTTTCCCATGACAACTGAGTAGCTGTTGAGGTCCATCACTCCATATGCAGTGGTGTGGTGCATCTTCCCATAGTAGAATAGCTGGTGGTGTTTCAGGACGCAGTACCTCTTCTTCCAGCTGCGCACATGGTGGCCTTGCTTGAAGAGGAATCCATGGCAATCTGGGTCCCTGATACTCAGGGCACTCAGACTTACATTATGGGCGGGGCCAGAGAAATGAACATCCTCCTGCAAATTTTCAAGCTTATGCTGTTCCTATATATGCAATAAGTGGACAATGGTTAACATACTCTTCCTTTTAAGGTGGCTGCCTCTGTCAATACTTGAGCCCACCTGAGGGTAGGAGGTATATACAGTACTAGTCGCCAGGCATTGCTTGTGTACACTTCTAAGCACTGGTATGCAATAATGGCATACTTGTTCATCTCTTGCTCTGTATCAGCACATAGACAGTAGGACCGGGATCCTCCCTTCACCAATTTGAAGGTAAACGGTTTCTTCATGTCATAAATAGCTTTGGAAACTGTGTAGTTCCTGAGGACAATGGCACCCAGTGCCCGTGTGTCCTGTCATACAACATACATAGCTCCTAATCTCACAAACACACTGCAAAAATCCCTACCTCTGGGTCGCTGTAGTAGTAGGCAATGCAATCATCTCTCAGAATAAACCAGCGACGACGCCAGTTGCGAGGAGTGATGCCTGAGCCTCCCCTCTTTTCAAGCCAGCCACTGTACACTGTGTTACCAGAAGGCACAGGTCTTGGCTTGCGAGTGTGGAGCAGCAGGCGAACACTCTCTGGGCATTCTGCAATTAGCTGGCCGGCTTCATGGTGACTCAACGCACGCACATTTCTCCCATTCACCTCAAGCAGTCTATCTCCTTCGCACACACCTGACTCCTCCGCACCTGCCCCAACTGAAGTGATACATGCAACATTAAGCAGCAAAGAGAGGGAGTGAAGGAGAGTATAATATGCTTACAAACTAACTGTCACCGTTATAGCATCTATGGGTAAACTCACAAACTTGGGCGATGATGGGAGGGCTGTTGCCCTGCAGCTCGAGACCATAGCCAGTAGGAGTGCGTGTCAGAGTGACGGTCCTCAGAATCGGCCGATCGAACATACTGGACCTCCGAATGGAGTTCATTCTGCAGCGGAACAATCAGCCTACAAGCGCAATTTTTCTGTATGACAGTCAGACCTGCCTAGTGTATCCCACTGTCCTTCTCCTTCGTCTTCACTCTCGCTGTCACTGACACTGTACAGAGAAGAGCTGGCAGACGAGCACTATTGCATGAGACAAAACTATAACATGCAAGTCGAGCCGCTCACAGAAAGTGCAGGCCAGCTACAAACTAACCGTTGTTGATACTTCGCTCCCCCCATCTTCACAAGCTGCAGTTACAGCCATATTCAAAGATGATATCCTCCAGACGGGCAAAAAGAACGGAGAACGGGGACTTACTGCGCCGCCGTAAAGTTGCGGCTCATTGCGGAGCCACACCCTCCGATCCAATTTCGGCCCCGCCCACCTGCGATAACAAAATGGCGAGCGGCGGGACCAATCCTCGTGAACTACAGGAGAACTTGTCGAACTCCGAGGCTCAACTTCACCAAGTCGGTTTATCAGTAGGCGTTTCTGTGTCCTTTTATGACTGTGTTGGCTGCAGGTTGAGGCCGCCTTGACCAATGACCCAAATAACGCTGAACTCCTCAAGCTAAAGGAAGATCTCACCGTAAGTCCTGATTACGCTACCGCTTCAGAATACAGCGAGTGTTTGTGTGTCTGTAGGAAGTAATCCAGCTTTCAAGAGAGCTACTGCAACTGGTTCCAGAGGTAGGTAGTGATTACAAAAAGTCACTATTGACCAACCATTGTTGGCAGGCGACACCAAAGTCACCAGCAACTCTTGTGTACAACTGGAAACCTGGGGACTCTTGCTCTGCAGTCTGGAGTGAGAGTGGGAGGTGAGTCCGAGAGTGTGGGAGGTGCACAGTGAGCAGCCTATGTTCTTACCTATTGTCCAGATACTACAATGCAGTCATTGACATGATATCAGAAGACAAAGGGACCTGTTCTGTCACCTTTGAAGGATATGGCACCACAGAAATTGTGAAAGTGAGTGTGTAAACTGTCATGTTCTCTGAGTATGTGATTCTCTCTGGCATAGCTGTCGGAACTGAAACCAGAGAATACAACAGAAGACACTGCAGGCAAGAGGAAGGGAGCTCAGCAACTGATGAAATCTAAAGCCAATAAGTAAGTGATTGTTGGTAGAACAATAACGAATATGGAGCATTTGTGCTTCAGGCAGAAAAGAGAAGAGCTAAAAGAGTACAGGAAAAAGAAGACACAGAAAAAGTTGCAGAAACAACAGGTATAATTATGTACATGGCGAGACCTATCAACTTCAACAATGTGATATTTGTATGTAGGAGGTGGAGGAACTTAGAGAAAAGGAGAAAGATCGATGGAAGAGCTTCACGCAGAAGGTATGTGTGCTACATGAAGGTTGAAGTCTTATTCATGTGTGTTGAGGTTTGCTACAGAGCTCCAAGCAGAAAGGACCTATAAACAGCCGCCAGAAGAAAAGCATCTTTGCTGTTCCAGATTCTCTTAGTGGCCGGGTAGCTAATACCTATATGTCTTGTCTTGTGAGTGCTGGTACATACCTTATAGGTCGGAGTGGGGACCTGCAATGTAGGAGGAAAAGGAATGACAGACTTCGAGAGCAGAAAGAAACATAGCAAATCGTCCATTGCATAACTTCATCTCTGCCCATGATGTTTTCGCGCACGCGCAAGGCATGCGCACAGCGTGCGCGAGTCGAGTTCTATTCTAGTCTCTGGCCGACCGAAGAACCAACAGCTGCGCGTAATGGCCGGTGCATGTCCGGTAGGAGACGAGAATAAGCAGCGAGAAAGAGCAGGTGGCTGTCCAGTTCAGCATGGTCAGCGGGAAGAGGAACGTGCCGAGAACGTAAACCCGTACAATTTGGTGGGGAATTGAATGTACCTGAGGGTATGGGATCACGTCCTCCCACTATAGATACCTCCATTGAGTCAGGAGCCTGCCCCAGGCCAGCCCTACGCCCTCCCCACAGAGAGAGAGCGTTCCACCATCCCCAAGGCTGTAGGAAAGGAGGGAGAAACCTGGACATACCCCTCACAACAAATGTTCTTCAATGCCATGCTGAGAAAGGCAAGGTTACTGGTGGCTGAAAGTCAGAGCTGACTTTTCTTAGCAGGGCTGGCACTGGAAGGAAGGGGACACTCAGAAGGAGGACATTGCTCATATAATTGCCATTCACAACAAGAACAATGAGGAGGCGTGGCAGGAGGTACTCAAGTGGGAGCTGATGCATGCTCAGTGAGTAGGTAGGTGGGTGTGGCCAGTGGCGAGCACTATTTCTCTGTCCAGGGAGTGTGTCTGTGGACCAAAGTTGGTGAGCTTCAGAGGTCGAGCAAAGGACTTCACTCCAAGAGCCAAGATACGGTCTTGGTTAGGGTAAGAAGTCCCGGTCTCTCCTCACACATACCAGTTGACTGTTGACTGTAATAGATATGAGCTGCCATTCGACCGACATGACTGGGTGGTGGACAGGTGTGGGCGACAGGTACGCTACGTCATTGACTACTACGGCTGTGAGCCTGCTGAGGACAATGACGTTCCTATCTACTTGGACGTCAGACCTGCTCTAGACTCATTCCAAGCCTTCTGGGACCGTGTGCGCGTGGCATGGAGACGATGGACTAGTGCATAGCTAGCACCACACCATGCACCACCACCCACCCAGTGTTAGTTCTAGTGCTATCCCTCAATTATGCGCATGCGCGTTCAAACCACGTGCGATAATCAGGTATACTGCACTGTGTGAGCATAATGGCGACTTCTCATCTTCGTGGACTGAGGGAAAGCGTGTGGCTGGAGCAGGCCAAATACGAGCAAGCAGAGGGAAGATATCATGAGGCGCTGGCCCGCAGCAGAGCTGGGCTCTCTCAGGTAAGCAAGCTTCTCTTTGTTATGTGATAATTTGTGTTGATGCGATGTAGGGGGCGGTGTTGAGGACAGGATCCTCTGGAGTGAGTGATTCCATAGAGGCCACAATGACTATGATCCAGCAGTCCTTGTCAGCCAACCCTCAGGTAGTGAGTGCTGTGTTTTCATAGCAGAAGAGAAAGCGAAGGTGTATTGGTATGTTTTGTTGAATAATGTCTTACCAACAGACTGGTCGTCGAGTTGACCTTGAGAACAGAGTAGCAGCTGTAGAACAAGAGAATGTGCAGCTGAAGGAAGGTATTCCCTCCACACAATACCTATTCTTGAATCCAGCTGATTTACTGTTCAGAGCTTGTGGAAATGAAAGGGAGAATTGCGGCTCTTGAAGCTCGATTTGGGGCACCTCCTCCGCCTCCTGAAAACCAGAAGAAAACTGATGAGGAAGACTTTGACCTTTTCGGTGATGAGGTAATGTTTTATCTGTTGGGACCCCTCTCCAAACTCACCTCCCTGGCTGTAGGAGGAGGAAGAGGAAAATGAAAAGGATGTGCCAAAGCCAAAGCCAGCTAAGACCAAAAGTGAGAGAGAGCATTTGTAACTGCCTTCAGTCTTTCCTGGTTGTCTCAGAGGGTCCAGTTGTGGCCAAGTCAACACTTGTTCTTGATGTTAAGCCGTGGGACACTGAAACTGGTGAGCCCTATAATTGTATAGTCAGAATTGAGTCTCTAGTAATACATGCACTCTTCAGACATGAAGGAAGTGGAGCGGCTAGTCAGGGACATCACTGTAGATGGTCTGCTGTGGGGAGCTTGTGAGTTGGGTTGAACGAGAGCTTCAACTGGCAACTTCATACTGTTCTACAGCGAAACTGGTGGATGTGGCTTTCGGTATCAAAAAGTTGCAGATATCATGTGTTGTTGAAGATGAAAAAGTGGGTGTGGATTTCTTAGAGGAGAGCATTACGGCATTTGCGGACCACGTAAGTATATTCTCAAGAGTCTGGTGTCCTCTCCCATATACCCACTACAATTCACAGGTTCAAAGTGTGGATGTTGCAGCCTTCAATAAGATCTGAACTGTCCTTTGCATACATAAAAGTCTCAGCACCAACCAACATGTGTTTATGCAATTTAAGCGCATGCGTAGATACGAGAGACTGTACTATTGCCTATGGTTGCATTTCCTGTTATGATAAAGAGAGCGAACACTTGTGTAGTGTATATACGTACGTGTTCAGGTTATTCCATTTGCGCATGCGTACCACTCGCCGGGGGGTTAATTTCGGTGCCGAAACGGTAATGGCCGCGGCGTCGTCTGGGGTTGAAGTCGTGGTCGAGGACCGAGATGGAAGTGGGAAAGAAAGCCATGAGAGGAAACAAGGTGTGTTAGTCGGAGAGCTCCCCGACCGTTTCAGTTTAGAGACGCCCCAAGAAGGCACGAAGGAGCATATGAACGTAGTTGAGGTGAGTCCTTCGTTTCCCAAGATCCTCCCTCCTCACTGGCTTGCCTCTAGCGTCACCTGGACGAGCTGACATTCTGTGGCTCCACTATCAACGACCTGGAGCTCCAGTTGAGCAGCGCTAGAGCCTCATTTAGAAAAACGCTGGGAGAGTGCAAACTGCGACTGGAGGAGACACGGAAGAGACTAGGCTCATGTATTCCCAAGTCCCAGCCATTCATTGAAGTATGGAGGAAGGCGAGACAGGTGAGGAGTGAGGGGTGAGGAGTGTGCTGGTGACAGAGTCTTGCTGTGGCAGGTTCAAGAGGAGTCTAACAGGGCAGCTGCAATGTTTGACAAGGCCAGCAGTCAGTACGCCGCAGCCAAGGAGATGATACGAGTGACAGAGGGCGAGTTGGCCAATTCCCTCCCTGAGACCAGTGAAGAGGGGAAGGTAGTAGATGAGTCAGTCAGTCATGCACTCCTGGAAGTCCTGAACCATGCTACAAGAAAGGTTGGAGCGGTGATTGGGAGTGATGTTTGATGTGTTTGTATTCAGGTGGTTGGGACGGAGAAGGAGAAGAGGGAGAGTGAGGCTGAGCACCGCCGCGTCCTAGATCGCTGCAATGCAGTCCTGGAGGAGTACCGACTAATAGAGAGGAAACTGAGACCTCACATCATCAAGTCTCGACCCTACTTCGAGGAGAGGTGGAGATCGAGCCAGGAACTGAATGTGAGACCACATGTCACCCAGTCCTGTGTGATGTGTGCTGTTGGCACATTGTATAGCAACTGAAGAGGCACATCTCTGGTCTGGAAAGGGAATTGCAGAAAACAAAGAAGAGATATGCGGAGACTCTGCGGAACCTCGACCGTCTGAACCACTCCCTGCACAGGCAGCGGCGTGCCAACAGCCTCAGCCCCATTCCCCAGCAGTCCTCAGAGGTGGGTGGAGCCAACAGTGACTCGGAGAGTGTTCAGAGCTGGCAGGTTGTGGAGGGAGTTCAGTTCACCGGTTCCACTGGCTCTCTGCCTTCCATTGGCAGCTCAGTGGCCGAGGAGAAAGATGAGCATCCTCACTCTCAACCGCCACAAGATGATGTGTCTGTCCCTGCCATTAACGTTGTTGCTGACGACGATGAACTCACTCAACTAGCAAGAGACTTTGTACATCGTGCCCTCCGCTCTGCACTGACTAGACTAGCCAACCAGTCTTCGTAGCTTCTTCACTTCACCAGTGGCTTTATTTATTGTCTCACTTTATTTTGATTTGGTGGAATATATAACAATCTTTTAACACTGGATCATTCATTACAGAGACAGATGTTAAACAGTAACCTGTGCTATAGTTCTGTTGGTGGTATAATTATAGTCCCATAAAAATCGGCAACCAGAGAACACAAAAAGTGATCAAATAAACAGTGACAAGAGTCTGTCAAAATGTTTCAGAGTCCATCCTTTCTTTTGGCCCTCCTCACTTTCTTGGCCAGTCGAGGTTCAGGTTGAAGGCAGCTCACAGTCAGAGGACCACTGCACACAGGACATCTTGCTGCCCGCACAGCTCTGCCAAGGGACACCTGCAGTCATGACAACCTCCAGGAGATGATGGAGGGAGGCTGACCTGTGGCGAATGTGCTCCATGACTGCAGCTCTGGAGTAGGTGTGGCCACACCCACTGTTGCTGACTGGGTCTTCGAGATAGGTCCCTGTCAGAGGACACTTCAGCGACTGCTGGACCTGATATACAAACACACGCTAACAAGAGTTGGACACTGTGGCATCTACTCACCTTCTTCACCTGTACATCTTCCTCTGCCTCCTCCACACCTCCTCCATTTCCTTCCCCTGACAGCAGTCGTGCCAACTCCAGCACACTCGGATGGGAGCTGGGGTCAAAGTTCTCATCCATAAGTTCCATCAGTTTCTCCTCCAACTCCTCCAAGAGATTTGGAGGATCCTGCACACTTTGTTCTGAGGTTAGACATGCCCCAAACTTCCCTCTTCCTCACCTCCGGCACATCTGCTCTCTGTACACCAGTTGCAATAGTGTCCACGTGACCCAGTGCCGTTCTCACGTGATCAACCTCTTTCTCAAGCCTCACTAGTTCCAACAGCTCCTGCTTGACTCTCTCTTTATGTTCGCTATAGCCTCCTTCCTCCTGCGAGGGAGAGGGACTGGCTGCGTCGCCTCCAGGACAGAAACAACTACCTGAATATCCTCTCCTACCGCTAAACACTGCCGTATGCCTTCAGTCATTGCATCTCTGAACTCAGCAACTATTCCCTTCAGCTCTCCCGACATCATCCCTGCCGATAGCTTCCCGCCCAACCCACGTGAAGTAGGTGAAAGGTCAAAACAACATAGACTCTGTCGGATCGGCAAATATGGCGGTGGCCACTCGCTCGGCTATACAGAAAGAGGTGTTTTCTCCGTTGGAAGAGCGGCTAGTTGCTATTGTGAACGTCACAAAGCCAGGGAGGAAGAAGAAGAGCAGTTTCCTTTGCTTGTCCGGTGAGATTTGTGTTGTATACACGGCAACATAATATATTGCAGGGCGTACCTCGTGTCTCAGTGAACAAGCAAGACCGGCAGGTGTACATATCTCGTGTGAAACCCGTGGAGCCAAGGAAAGGAGCGGGGATGGTTGGTGTAGGGGTGACAGTGGGCGGGGCCTCGTACCGCAGAGCCAAGTCGTGGAGTCTGGGAGAAGTGAAGGTGGTTGATGGTCGAAACTCAACCACAGAGGTCACGGAGTTTGACCTCCACATCAACAAGACTGTGTACAAGTGGGTGGCCAGCAATGTGGCAGAGAAGAAGTCCTTCATATCCTGCATCTTCAAGGTGTGTACGTTAGAGGATGTAAAGCTGTCTGACAGTGCTTGCAGTGAGTTGACACTGCAACAAGAACAACTGTATATGAGACACGTTGACTGTTGTGTGTTGGTGTGTAGCTGGTGTCCAAGTCAGTGGAGAGAAAGCAGCCGGAATTCCTGAACGTGGACACAGAAAGGTTGCTAGAGTCTTTCCACGAGCAGCGAAAGGCTGCGGCTGATGATCTCGAGGAGGTTGAGCAGCTGCAAGGTTGGAGTGGCTCGAAATTTGCATGACATCACAATGATGTAATGTGTGTCAGAGGAGTACCAGGAGCTGAGTGCAGCAGAAGAAGAGGACATTGAGGCTCTGCTGAGTCGAGACAATGCCATTCAGGATGCTGCAGCCTTCACAGAGAACCTCTCAGAGGAGCTGGCACACCTCGACCAGGTTTAGCGGCCCCTTCTTCCTCTGTGTATATTGTGTGTGTGTGTGTCTTCAGGCCAATATTAGAGCTCTGATGGGCTCAGAGGTTGCAATCCTGGAGCTGATGCACGGACTGGACCAAGCAGTCAGGGAGATAGGAGACATGGAGACCAAACTGGAGGTGTATGACCAGCTGTTGAGTGGGGTCCGGAGCACCATGGCCCACCTGGGCAGCCAGTACTCTGCCACCCTGGTGGAGAACAGGAACCTGCAGGCTCTCCTGAGAGAGGTGGATGAACTGGTGGTAAGAGAGACACACTCACACACACCTCAGGCTCCCAGTGTCTCCTCTGTAGACCAAGTTGGACCTTGACCCCAGAGTGGAGCACACTCTCCTCCGAACTCGTCTCTCTGAGACCAGCAGCATCAAAGACTGGACCCTCGCTGCCACTAAACTCCAGGAGGCCTCCGATTTTGAGCTCTCCCCTGGAGTGTCAATCTTACAGGTCACCTCTCCCTCTAGCCACTCATACATACCAGTCTGTACTGTGTATCTCGGATCTCAGGCTGTGACAGAGAGAAAGGAGTACTTCTCAAGTCTGTCCTTCAAGTTCGGCAGACGACTTCAGGAGCATCTGACGGGACTGTTTGTGCAGCAGGTACCTTAGTTGGAAACTTTTGATAGAGAAAGTTATTGTAGCTAGCACATGTGAACTTCATGGATGGCTATTGAGCCGTGAAATTTGGTGAAGTTCCTGCTATACTCAGTATGCAGCCATATGCTCCACCCGCAGGCAGAACAACTGAAGGAAGATGGCAGCGGCAGAGGCCTAGGGCTGCCTGTACTGCCCAGTCACACTGTCATTCACCAAACTCTCCTCCCATACTCTGCCCTCCTTTGCTGGATGAGGCAGTCAGAACCTCAACCTTTCAATGAAGTCATGGAGGTAAGTCATCGCAATCCACCACGTCATTTCAGGTCCCTTTCTTCAGATGTATGTGCGCAGTTTCCGGAGAGTTTATGAGGCAGAAATTCGCCAGTTCATGGCTGACGTGAAGGCGTCACTCGGAGCTCCTGTGGATCTGAAGAGGAGCAAATTCCTGCCAAAGGTCTGTGGCTGTTTTACATCTTCTTTCACCCTTCCCCTGTCGCCATACTAGATGACGTCAAATGCTGACCTACTGCGGGGCTCACTGGGTGGCTCTCTCCTCTCCCTCTCTCCGGCCAGGGACAAAGGAGCCTTCTCACAGAGTGTGGTCGACATTAGTGCCTCCCCAACAGCCGCAGGAACCGACTCTTCCAAACCTCGGTCCGTGTGTTCTAAGTTATACGTTACGGGAAAGCCGGTTTTTGTTGCAGGTTTGACCAGTTGTTTTCATCAGTTCTGGAGCAGCTGCAGCCAGTCTGTGTGGCAGAGCAGAAGTTCCTCACGTCTTTCTTCCACTTTCAGAAACCTGAAGTTGTTACAGTGAGTGTTGTGTGTCCTCACATCCAATGGTGTACTAGCAGTTGTACACAGAGAGAGGAGGAGGAGGAGGAGGAAGGGGAGAGAGGAGAGGAAGAGGATGACACTGATTTCCCGTTCAGACAGAGACAGTCTCCTCAAGTGATGCATGACAGCCACAGTGTCGGGGGAGGCCTCCAGGGACTCCTCTCACAGCTTTTCCAGACGCTGCTCCCTGAGATCGAGGGACTCATTCTCTTTGGAGAGAAACTGGACAGTTTGTGAGCCCACTCTCTCTTCCCCCGGGGCCGAGCCAATCCACATTGTTTGTGTTTCTGTGTCCAGCAACTCGCTGTATCTCCTGACAGCCATCAGCCATCGTCTTGTCATCTCCACGGAGTCCGGGGCAATGATGTCAGAACTTGACGAAACTCTCAAAAAAGCTCTTGTCTGTGTTCGTCGCCTCTTTGATGCCTTCACTGTGAGTCTCGGCCACGCCCACCAAAATCTTGGCAACACTTACTAGTATATAGTCATGGCAACTTTTACTCCACACAGGCGTCAAGGAAGAAGGCCATTGAGGAGATGAAGGTGCCAAAGGGAGGGAAGTGTGGAGTGCTTAGTTGTGTCGTCATGTTTGGAGAGTTCTCAGAGCGGGCGGAGTCCATCATCATGGGCGGAGACCGCCGGAGTGAACTGGACAAGGCCTACGGCCACCTCATTGATTCTGTCTTTGCCACCATCGAGAGGGTTGCTAAGGAACACACCAAAACGCCTGTCGATGTCGTCAGATTTGGTGTGAAAAAACATAATGTACTGTTATCGCATGTGGCCCAATTTTCATGTTCCCAAGTTTAGAAGTTTCCAAAGTTTGGCAGCCATGTGGCATGTCCACTGTGTTTGTACAGAGAATTACCATCAGTTGATGGACATCTTGTCTCGGATGAAAATCTCGTGTCTGGAGAGGAGGAAGGAAGAGGCGAAGAAGAAATACAGAACTCACAAGAAGCAGTACGTTGACAAGAGTCTGGGACGCCCAATGGAGAAACTGAGTGTGAGTCGGTGACATCGTTACCAAGAGAAATGACATCATCCAATAATTATGCTGCAGCAATTCTTTGAGGGTGTCGAGGGCCTGCTGGCAGGAGGGACCAAGGCAGACGAAGTAGGATTTCGACTTGACTACAGCAAGACTGAGCTGAAGAAATGCATCAAGGAGTACCCTGGGAAAGAGGTATGGCAGTGGGCGTGGTCTCGTGCTCTAAGTGTGTGGTGCTCCAGGTGAAGAAGGGACTGGAGAAGCTGTTCAGAAGGGTTGAGAGGGAGGTGAGTGAGGAAGTGCTGGAGGTGGTCTGGGGAGACATGCAGGGCTGCTTCATGCAGCAAGTCGCCAGGTTCAACCAACTCATTCAGCAGTGCTATTCTGGTAGGTCCCTGCTGATCTATCTTATGTAACCTGACATAATCACTGTCGTGTGGCAGGTGCAGGCATTGCTCTGGAGTTCAATGAAGGCGATGTTGCCGAGTATTTCAGAAGTATTGCAGAACAGCGATGAATACTGATCCATGACACTTTAATACTCATAACTGGATAGCATTTTAAATCATCAAGTTTTAGCGTTCAAGCTGGGCTACGCACTTGCTTGGTGAACGTTTTGTGGCGTGATGTTTGTGCACATGTGGAACTAATTTTTAAGGGTATGTTTTGCCCCAACTGTGCTATATACATGCGGGGTCTATATGAGGCCAGCTAATATTTGAAGTGCAGTGTATAATCGAGGAAAGGCGGTACTGTATATATGGGTGCTGCCCCCATTATGTCATACGTGATTTTAAATCAGTGTGAAAGACGCAAATATTCATCTAGTACCGAACTTGTCAAACTGTCATTGAAAACTGAGGAAAACGGCTTGAAACACTCAGAATGGAAGTCTGGTTGTCATGACGAGTCAGAGAGTCTCACTCCCAGACTCGGCTGATGCTGTTGACGTCGCTGACTGAACCTGAAATACCACCACCATCTAAAATGACATCATCATGACATCATTCTAACCGGAGAGCCTCCTGAAGTTTTTTCCTTTTCTCCCTTTCCTCTCTCCTCTGCTGAGCCATAACCTGCAGACTGGTCACTTCCTCTCTTCCTGCCTCCCCTTCCCACCCTCCCCCCTCCACCACCTCCTCATCTGCCCATTCCCCAAGTTCACTCGTCTCCTGATACACATCTGAGAGCCTTCAGCAGACACTCACAGTGTGGTCTACTTACCTGACCTATAAACTCAGCCTCCACTGCAAACTTACGCTTGTCTGGTCGCTTCTCGTCTGCTACTTCCCCTCCAACGTACACCTGTTGCAATTGCCAGCAATGTCAAATATTGGGGGTGTGGCTTGCCAGACCTTCCTGGTTTTGGTTAGCACAGGTTGCATGTCCTGGAACAGGTCTGAATCAGTTGGGACGACAGTCACACTGAATGGCTCCATAGTGTTCCAAGACTCCTCCCACTCCATCTCCTGCCCAGTGGCTGGTGATGTACCCACCTAACACCACACACCTTTTTACACAATACCCACATGTTACAGGTCAAACCTCACATTTCCAGTCATGGATTGTTTTGAGTTGGCGCCAGGCGAAACCTGCTGGCGTCTGAGCAACAGACTAGCGACTGTTTTGCAGAGGCTCACAATGCTCACCCAGAGCCACACAATGGCGCTGCATACCTTTCTTCCTACCATGTTGGCTTATCTCTTAGCGCACCCGCCGTAGCGCGCGCATTTCGCGCGAAAACCGCACGCGCACGTGTGTACAAAAAGGGCCAGCATAGCACAAGAGATAAGCAGGGAAGATGAGGTTTGCAGTTTGTCTGCTGGTTGCTGCAGTGATTAGACTCACTGTGGCCGACCCACCCGTCTCGCTGGACAAAGATAGCTTTACTGAAACAGTTGGTGCGGGAAACCCAGTCTTCGTAAAGTTCTTTGCTCCATGGTAAGCCACGACGTCGCTCGCTGCTTCTCACTCACACTCAACACCAATGAGTAGGTGCGGTCACTGCAAGCGGCTGGCTCCCACTTGGGATGAATTGGCGGAGAAGTTCTCTGGAACAGGCATCGTTACTATAGCTAAGGTTTGGACCAAGCTTCCAAGGGTTGTTGTACAGTGGTGTGTGTAGGTGGACTGCACGGAAGAAACGTCCCTGTGCGCCGACCATGGCGTCCGTGGCTACCCCACGTGAGCTATAACACGCAGTGCAGTTGATAACCAGTAGTGAGCCCTTCACACAGACTGAAGCTGTTCCGAGAAGTGGACAATGTGACTCCATACCAAGGAGCCAGAGATCTGGAGAGTCTGTTCCAGTTTGTCATGGAGACGGTGGCCGGAGCTGCCCAGCAACAGGAGACTGAGAGCAAGTCGGAGGAGGAGGAGCCAGAGCCCAAGGCAGCTGCGGATGTGGAGAGAGACGAACACGGGCTTCTCCACCTCACTGATGCCAATTTCAATGATGTCATCAACAACAAGGAGGGAGTCCTGTTTGTCAAGTTCTATGCTCCATGGTGAGTGGGTGGCTGGTGTGAGTTGTGAGATTTGTGACAATTGTGACAGGTGTGGACACTGCAAGCGACTGGCACCAGTGTGGGAGCAACTCGGAGAACATTACCGTGACAACGACCATGTGGAGATTGTCAAAGTTGACTGCACCGTAGAGAAGAAGACGTGTCAGCGCTACGAGGTGCGAGGATACCCAACTCTCATTTTCATTGCTGACAGTAAGTCGCCGATCATATATAGTAATATGGCGGTATTAGTTTTGTCTGCTGCAGGCATAGTGCTGGAGAAATACAGTGGCAGCAGGACATTTGATGATCTTGTCCAATTTGTGGAGGACAACCGCATTGACAATTAGCCACCATTGTCATGGTTGTTGGCATTGTCATAGTGGAATGTTGTAATCACTAGGTTAAAAACTCTATTTTTCACAATTCACACACAAAATCAAAAAATTGAAGTAATCACAATTCAACATCTTCAATGGTAATGGGCGAGGGTTCTTTTTCTTTACGAACAGTCTGTAAATCGACTGGCGGCTCTTTAGTTAGTGTTGATGATGGTGGATCGGCTTCAGGTGGGGGGGTACCCCTGTTGTCATGGTAAATAACGAGGGTACCAAGGAGCCTGTTCAACACAAAGGGGAGAATGGTTACTATGGTAACAATAGGAGATCACAGACCTCCTGAGGAGGGGGTTGGAGGGAGGGGAGATGGTGTGTGGGAGGAGCCACCAATTCAGACCAATCGTAACCAGCAGAACTCCTGCCCACTACAGGAAGATCATCCTCAAGCATGGGATTAGTGTCTTTTGATAAAACATGGGGTTGGTGTCTTTTGACAAAGGAACTGGTGATCATACCCACAACTACACAGATCGAGGAAAGATGGCTGATCACCTGTGAGAGAGTCATGGCGAGACTTTCAGTTGAGAGCTGCCACCAGCTGGGGTCGGTTCGGATGGTGTCAACAATCCACCAGACAATCAGCACAACTCCCTCCAACGGTGCTATGAACCTGTCAGAGATGAGAGAGACCTGCTTACAGCAGAACGGAGGACCAGATATATCTCTCACATGACAACCACCCACACCCAGGGAAGAGGCCAGTCACCCACACCAAACTGAAGGTAGAGCCTCCGACGGAATTTAATGATGTTGTAGCGAAAAACGAGGAAGATGAGGAAGCAGCCGCAGAGAATGAGGGCATACCTGTAGACAGTGGAGGAAGGTACGGACAGACAATATTATAGTGCACCCCTTACCCCCACACAGCATCTTGGTTGACAAGCACTGACAGGTCAAGAGCAGAGGCAGTTCCGAGGAGAAAAGAGCTCACTCCAATCACAATGGTGGCTGGTATCCTGCGAACTGGTCAGCAGACAAGACTCAACCCCCAATCAACCAGAGGCCTACCTCCAAAGTCAGTGATGGTGTGGATGGAGAGTTCAAGAAGAGAAATGAGGGACGAGAGGCCAGCCAGAGAGAGGCAGAAGAAGAAGGCAATGGCCAGAAATCGACCTCCACTGCCGATGTTGTCAAACAGAACTGGCATCCTGTACGAGGGACACCAATCAGGAAGTGGGCGGAGTAATGGGTGTGGTTACCAGATGAATGTAAGTCCAGTGTTTGCCTCTCCGTTAGTCTTGAGAGTCTCGACGACCTCAGCCAGAGGCACGTTCTCCTGGTACTGGACACTGAAGACTGTGGCGAAGACCGTGATTCCACAAAGCAAGCTGACAATGTTGTTGAAGAAAGGAGTTAGCATGCCCAGCCGAACTGCACCCTGTGTCCTCTTCATGAACGTGGCGTACGTGAGAAACAGACCAATGCCAGCACCTTGGTAGAGAGAGGAGGGAGATGAGGGAAGTAGAAAGGCTTTACTTACTGGTGTCCCAGGCATTCTGAGATGCAGCATCAATCCATAGCTTTGAGTCCTTCAGGCTCTCTGCATATTACATCATTATTGGTAACGACGATGTAATGTGGTCGTAGAGTTACATCATACCCCAGGACGGAGAGAAGAGGTGGATGATTCCATTCGCGGCATAGGGCAGGAATATCGCCCAATAGAAACACAGAACCACAATAGACAGCAGGATTGGTACTATCACCTACGTATTATATATACATGAAACAGAGGGAGTGAGAGTGAGGGGAGAGAGACCTTGTTGACAAGCTCAATGGTAGACACTCCTCTGCTGACAGAAAGAGAGGCCAACAAAATGGCAACTCCGTGACACAAAACTGGCCAGTTGCTGCCCTGCAAAGGAGTAAAACCATAAGTACGGGTGAACATCAACAGAAGGTGACAGAACCTGCAGGTCATTCCAGATCTGTAGAGACGCATCAAGACTTGAAGGAAGAGTGGAGGAACACATTTTGATGAAGTAATAGCCACACCAGCCAACCAGAACGGAATAGTAGCTCCTGAGAGTTTAATGCTATTCATATCAAAACATGCAGTCACATGTGCAGTTGTGCACGCACAACCCACACATTTTTGAGATGCGTATCCCAACCCCTCAACCTGGTCTTACGAGATGCAGAAGCTGACAACAACAGGGAATGCGCCCAGGAAGCGGTACGAAGGCCCAAGGAGAGCTCCCCATGACTCAATCAGGGCCTTGCGAGTGTAGCGACCTATTCCATACTCTATGAGGACAATTGGAATGGACCAGAGCCACAGGAATGCGAACCAGACCAGCAGGAAAGACAAGGCACCTGCAGACACACATAGTGGCATTTGTTGAGGGTCGATACCTACTTACCCCCTTCCTCCGCATGGGTGCCCAGTATCCGTGGGAACCTCCAAATGTTGCCGGTGCCAACCACAGCACCCAGACTTGTCAGAAGCACCGCCAGGGAAGAGGAAAATGTTCCCTGTGATAACAATCTACAATTACTGCTTGTTTAGGTTTGTGAAAGTTAGAGCATTTTGGGTGCCATTCTGGCTTTGGATTGAGATGTGCAGACTAGATACAGAGAGAATACTTCTGGAATTCTCAGGGAACAAAGAGAGTTCCTATATAGCTCAGAGACAACAGTCTGGGATATGGTTTCCCTCTTTATTCCTGATACAGGACAAAATTCCGAATCTATTCTCTCCGCATCTACGATAGCACCTCGAGTCCCTATATAAGAAGAGGCCGTGCAGTTCAGTCAGTCTTCGGCGGAGGGACTGTAAGAGACCATCAAGGAGTTGCAGGTAAATCAAGGAAGTAGCTACTGCAGCTAGGACTAGCATTAGGTCCAGTGTGCGGCACCCTAGCTCCGTCGCGGATTGCTCGCTAGCATGCAAGCGTAGAACATTGCAGGTAACTATTAGGATCGTCCGCCGACTACTTCTCTCATAATAATTATTATTATACCTCATCACTCTTCTTCCTCTTGAACAGCGCAAGAGGGAGGGTCGCCGCGGAGAGTGCACAGCTGCCGCAGGAGCTAGCGAACGACCTCTTATGCGTCCATTCGAGCCCTTTTCCTGCCTGCTCGTTATCTCTGTGAGCGTGCGAGCTCAGCAGAGGACTCTTTTCTCCCTCGTCAGCCATTCCGTCGGAGCTCTCATTCGTTAGCCCCACCCCCAAATCGTTATCAAGCGCTCATCATGCTTCACGTGATAGGCGCTAAAGCAAAGGCACTTACTTTTTATCGGGAAAAGAAGGGGCGTCTGCTTGGGAGCTACGGACGCGATGGTGAGTGGAGCGTAAACCCGGACACTGGCGTGTATTCGCCGTGGTTTAGCTGCTAGCCTTTGGTCTGCGTGTCACAAGGACGGAAGAGATGCACGTCTCTTTCCTCGCAGGCTGCTCAGGGGAAGAAAGAACATCTGTACAAAATCCTAGTAATAGGGGACCTGGGAACGGGAAAGACGAGCATCATCAAGAGATACGTCCACCAGTTTTTCTCTCCTCACTATAGGGCTACTGTATCCTCTTCAGGCAGTGGTGTGAAATATAGTGTGTTAGGGGACAGCATTTTCCTTTTGTTATAGGCGATGCACAGCATCTCTATACATCAGAGTTAGCTCTGCCTTGACCTCCGCCGGTGAAGATTGGCGTGGACTTTGCTCTGAAGGTTCTGAACTGGGACAACTCAACTACCATTCGCCTGCAGCTGTGGGACATCGCAGGTCAGTGGGCACATCTCATCGTCTGAAATGTTGATCGTTCCTTTTCAGGTCAGGAGAGGTTTGGGAATATGACTCGAGTGAGTTGATATCTTTCCTGTCATTTCCTCCTGAATCAACCCTCTCTGTACAGGTCTACTATAAAGAAGCCGTCGGAGCGTTTGTTGTTTTTGACGTGACGAGACTATCCACATTTGAGGCGGTGCAGATGTGGAAGGCAGATCTGGACAACAAGGTTCTTCTCCCAAATGGAAAGGCCATCCCTGCAGTCCTTCTCGCCAACAAGGTACATACCGCCCGACCTCTGATTTGACCTTTGACCACTGTTGGTTGCAGTGTGACCTGGCAAGTGAGGGTTTCCTTGGCAACATCAACCAGCTGGATGATTACTGCAGAGAGAAGGGGTTCCACGCTTGGTTCGAGACCTCGGCGAAGGAGAACATTGGCATCGAGGAGGCTGCGAGATCACTAGTAGCTAAGGTTTGTGGGCCTGGCTAATCGGATGGGACAGTCAGCCTGTCCCTATCTGGCAATGCGACGGTCAGCTGGTAATGAGTTAGACAGCCTAGCGCTTCTGGTATTGGAGCAGGCAGACTGTCCCATCCGGCAATGGGGCGGACTCTGATGTGTTTATTATTAGTGATCAGGTTTGTTAAGGTGCACCGGATGTCATGTGATAATGAATAATGGCCAATACTGTAGTAAGCAGCTCCATTTATGATGGTATATGACTATACAGATATTGGAGAATGATGAGACGATAGATCACCCGCAACCTGATGGAGATGGAATTAGGGTTGGAGAGGAGGACGGAAGGGCACCTAAGAAAACGGTGCAACATTGTCAACTTTTTTAATTTTCACTTTACCTCTCTCCTTCTCCCCCCACAGAAATGCTGCTAGTATAGAGAGTAACGTACAGGACCTATTTGCAGTAGTCCACACATTTCACCACTCACTAATAATAGATTGTGTCATGAGCTATATTATACTGTTCTGTGTTTGTGTTCAGAGAGTGTCTTTTCTACCTCATCATTTGTTCCACAAATGACTGATGTACGACAAAAGTAGGGGGGAGAGGGGAGAAGGGGATAGCGGGCGGAGGGGTGAGTGGGTGTGGCCAAACTCAACTAATTCTTTTATCTGCTCGTAGTGCTGCTGTGGTGATGAAATGTTATCAGTGCAGTTGGTCCAGAATGGGTGTGGCTGCCGTGCCAGGTTTTGGTGGGTGTGGTCTTTAGTTCCTTGTTTCGTAACTACCACATTCGGGAGGGAAGGGGCTGCAGGCAAATGGATGTCACTTTTATCCATATATCTCTGCAAAATCAAAAAGAGAGAGAGAGTTAGGCTAGGTTCACAATGTGTCACATAGCCCGTCTGGCCGTGCCGCATTGCTCTGTCACTAGGATAGATCTTTCCTAGTGATATAATACCTTCTCCATTCTCTCCTTCATTCTCTCCTCTGCAAACATGGGGATCCCTCCATTGGATCTGTTACTATAGCGATTAACAAACTTCCATTTCGATGTACTCTGTTGATAGTGAAAAGGCTGTGCAGGAGAAAGAAGTGGTAGGGGGAGAGGGGGTGGAAAAGGTCAATTACCTGATTGGACTGGAGTCTGACTGGGGCCGAGACTCTTGTCTGCTGCTGGGTGGGTGTGGCTTGTGTGAGGAGGGAAGGGAGGGTGAGTTCTGGGCAAGGGTTCTGCAGACAGAGAAGGTGCTGCAGTTGAGCATTGCGTGGGGTTAATATTACTTGCTGTAGTACTAGACTCCGTGATGCACGAGGGAGAGAGGGAAGAAAAGGCTCATGAACACCAGTATGAGTCCCCATTACAGATCTCTGTTGTCGTTGGTCGCGGCCTTTGTTTCTCTGCGAGGATAATATATAGTCACTCAGCTGCACTGTCTGGTGGCTCTACCTTCTTTCTCCTGTACTTGAAGTCCTGGTTTTCACTGTCAGACCCACTGGTACTGCAGGGAGCGAGGGGGTGACGCATTGAGAGGTGAGAAAGGGAGGGAAGTAAACTCACCTCGATTCCTCCTCCAATTGCCTCATGTTCATTTTCTTGAACTTGCTGAGGCTGTGCCGTGCTTGCTTCTTATGCAGACAGGCGCGGGAGTGAGGGGAGAGAGTTGTGGTGGTACTGGTCACCACATCAGGCAGCGTTGAGGTGGGACGATGAACGTTGTCAGTGGGTGTGGCCAGCCTCTTCATCAGCTTTTCTGCCAGTCGAGCCATCACTTTCAACTGATACCTACAACGAGGCCTCATGTCACGGCAAAGGAACAAAAACCACGACACTCAGAACATTTTTAGGGCTACCCTAGTGTAATACTTCATACTTCAACACTATAGTCAATATTATGCATGAATCTTTAAGAGCGGTAGTTTTGTGGTGCTACAGTTTTCCTGCCTTTGCAAAAGCAGAATGGTGCCATCTTCGTAGTAAACTTAATCTCGTATGGACATATCTAGAAAACAACACAATGCAAGACAAATGCAAACCTCAGCACACTGCCCTTCCAGCTACAGCTCACGTTTTGCTCTGAAGACATTTGCTGAACTTGTAGAAAGCCTCCCCGAGATTGCTCCCCATGCGAAGTAGGTCCCTGTCACTGAACTGCCATCTGAAAAGGACATGTGCTCCTTATAGTTATAAACTCATTCCATACCGATTTGGTCCTAGATTGGAACCACAGAATGTGGCCTCTAGAGTGAAGCTGTTGGGAACTCCAGATCTCCAAGTAACCACTCTTCCAGTGGACTCCTTGCAGCGCTGGACTGCAAACTTGCAACTCTCCAAACAGAACATGTCAGCAGCCTGGGCAAAAAAGCCTTAATGAGAGGTATAGATCTTGGATCATGGTCCACCTGCTCTGACAGAAGAAACGGTAAAAGCCTCTCATACAGAAACTGGGTGTGGTCTGCTTTGGGGGTGTGGCAACCGTACATAAAGACATTGTGCTTGCGACTGTGTCCATGGAGATCAACATATATACACACCTGTGGCAGAGAAGGTGGAGTTAAACAAGATGATAAGATGCCTTAAATGTGTGCTCTTCATTGTCTTAGCACAGTGGCTTTATGTTGCGTTCATTTGAACCCAGGTAGAGCACATGCAGAGTGTTGTGGGTTCGAATTCACCTAGGGCTGCTGTTTTTCCCCTTGTCCTGGGTGTCCTCTTACCCCAATTACCACATTCCCCTTACCCCAATTACAAACATTCCTCTTACCCCAATTACCACATTCCCCATACCCCAACATTATCCACCCCAATTACACACATTCCTCTTACACACATTCCTCTTACCCCATTCCCCTTACCCCAATTAGAATCATTTTTACCCCAATTACCACATTCCTCTTACCCCAACATTATCTACCCCAATTACCACATTCCCCATACCCCAACATTATATACCCCAATTACCACATTCCCCTTACCCCAACATTATCTACCCCAATTACCACATTCCCCTCACCCCAATTACAAACATTCCTCTTACCCCAATTACCACATTCCCCTTACCCCAACATTATCCACCCCAATTGCCACATTCCTCTTACCCCAATTACCACATTCCCTTTACCCCAATTACAAACATTCCTCTTACCCCAATTACCACATTCCCCTTACCCCAACATTATACATGTGTGCTCTTCATTGTCTTAGCACAGTGGCTTTATGTTGCGTTCATTTGAACCCCTACCTGCTGAGTTGCCTTGGCAGCAGGTAGAGCACATGCAGTGTTGTGGGTTCGAATTCACCTAGGGCTGCTGTTTTTCCCCTTGCCCTGGGTGTCATACTGTTGTTTGGTTTTCATGCGACATAGTTGTTGACACATGTCCAAACATAAAACTACAGTAAATGTCCACCTCTCTTTCCTGCTGAAAACTGTTCATCATCTTCTTAGTGTGGAAGATGGTAGGAAACGCAGCCTGTGAATGGAGCACACAGGGTGATTAGGAGCACCATGGAGATAGGGCTAGGGCATACAGTAACTGGTGTCCTGAAGACTCGGTTCAGATCAACTCCAGCCAGGGATGTCCTGTAGTTGCCCACGACAACACCATCAGGATTCAGCATCGGCACCAACTTGAAGACAAATGACTTCCTCAGAGCCTGCATTAGATCAGTGACATCATTTACATGATTAAGGGGAAGTTGAATTACATGTGAGTGAGGGGAGTTGGAGGTGAGGAAGAGGATGAGTCCCTCCATCATCCAGCTGCTGTTTGTCTCTCCGGGATGAACCCTCGCCGTGACAACCACACCTCTCTTCTTCCTCCCCTCTTCCTCCTCACCAGTGAACTCAGTGACTGTGAGAAGTGGACACGGATTCCCTGCTAATGTCCGGCAAAGCTCCTGTATTATAATATCCCAATATCAAGACACAGTCTATGACGATGATGGAGATATTTTGTGTACCTCTCTCTGAATGTACTTTGATCTCTCACTATCCTCCTCTATTTTGCCTAGCAATGTGTACAGAGCCGACAGAGGGTAAGGATAGCAGTGGGCAAGGTAGCATGTGTCGCCGTGGTGATAGAACCTCATGCTCCAGGTGAGAGTGAAGTAGGAGCGGAGAGGAGACATGTGAGGAGGGTAGTTGACTCTAGACTGGGTGTAAGACATATTCCATCCAACTCGTCTCCAGCCCACTCCGGTGGCTCTTGCCTCGTGTTCTGAATAGAGCAGAGGCTGCAGTCCTATGGAGAGAAATACTTCTTCAACAACTACCTTAACTACAGGCAGTTGTAGAGGTGCACCTTTGCTGTAAAGACTTTTGCTCTTCTCAAAGTTTACAATGTGGAATGTGTAAATGGGTGTGGTTTCCATGTTGGACACACGGAAATAGTACCACTGAACATGTCTCTTCGAGTACAGGTCAGGGTTGAGGATGAGCATGTACTCGTGAGGTCCTCTAAACACCGGGAAGGTTGATAAAGACCAACATGTGACGATACTGTACGTTAGACACTTAACGTTTGTTGGCATCGTGTCAATGAGCTAACTCTTGCTTCCAAAAACATGTACGATCTCAAACAAGATGTCACAATATTCCCCAAAAATTTGTTTCTTTAACAAACAAGGCCCACTTGGCACAGG